TGCACCAGCCAACCAGTTCCTCTACCTCCTCTCTGTAGTCCAGGTGGTTGTCGATTCTGATGAGGCCCCCCACTGTGGTTTTGTCGGCACAATTCATGATGTGATTGGTGGTGAACCTGGGGACGTGGTCATGTGTAATCAGGGTGATCAGCAGGGGGCTCAGGACGCAGCCCTGAGGGGAGCCTTTGCTCAGGGTAATGACATCAGACGTGTTCTGTCCAACTCGGATTGACTGAGGTCTGTTTCTGAGGAAAAGTCTAGTAGCCAATTGCAGAGAGGTGTACTGAAGCCTAGTTGTTCCAGTTTCCCTATCAGATGTTCTGGGATGGGGTTAAAGGCTGAACTGAAGTCCAGGAACAGCATCCGCACGTGGGTGTTCTTCCCCTCCAGGTGTGCCAGGCTCAGGTGGAGAGCAGAGGAGTTGCTTCAGTTGAGCGGTTCCATTGGAAGGAGAAATGGAATGGATCAAATGCTAGGGGGGAGAATGGAGATTATGTTTTCTTTCAAGGTCTTTCAAAGCACTTGCCTAGCTAAGTTATCGGGGCCCGGTGCCTTCCTCAGAGCTTTCCTCACTTCAGCTATGTCAAGGTTGTGTTTCTCCTCTCAATGATGGGGAACAGCTTTCATTGCCGGAATGCTATTTAGTGCCTCAAACCTTCCAAATAAGTTGTTTAGTCCATTTAGGAGGTTAGCATCAGCTACACGGGGGGAGGAGGGTGTGTTATAGTCAGAGGCGATTCTAGAGTCTGTGGGGGCCCCAAGCAAAAAATCCTAGGGGGCCCTACTGACCAGTGTTCATCACCATTATGTTAGGCTATAAATAATCTGACACCAATGAAAAATGTATTAAATAAAACCTTTTTTTTTATTCCAAATGTTCTAAACATGAACAACCTTGTGATTTTGGAAAATATAAAAGAGTAAAAGTAAAGAATAAACTAATAAATTAAAATAAATTTATAATAAAATAAAAAAAAATAGTACGTCACCCATTCGCTAGGCTTCGTTCATTTTTATTAAGGGAAGTCATCCACCTGGGCTGGGCTGGATTTTGACTGGGCAAAGCCAATGTCAATCAACATTCCATCCAATCGGGATTTTTATATGCAGTTGCGCATCTCCTCAGTCACTATAGCGTTGCCACTTCATGCTCGCATGTTGCTGTTTATCTACGGGGTGTACAGTAGCTGGCTCTCGGGGGCCCCCCAGCGGCTCGGGGCTCCAAGCAGTTGCTTGGTTTTCCTGTTGACAAGGTGCGCCTCTGGTTATAGTCTGTAATCACCATTTTGCCTTGCCATATCCTCCTGGTGTTGCTGACATTGTGGAAGAGACCCTGGATCTTCTGGCTGTGGTTCTGCTTTGCTGATGTGATCGCGTGGTTCAGTCTGGCTCTCGCTGTCCTTAGTGCCTCTCTGTCACCAGACTTGAAGGCTGAGTTCCCTGCTTTTAGCGATTTCTGAACCTGCCCAGTCATCGGGGTCGTTGGTTGGCCCGGGTGATAATGTACTTTGTAGTGCTGACGTTCTGAATGCATTTGTTGTTGCAGGCCAACACAGTCATGGCATACTCATCTATATTGATCCAGTTATCATAGGTTGCTGCAGTTTTGAACATGTTCCAGTCAGAGACTGAAAAAAACAGTCAGAGATTTTCCTGAAAAGGAAGGGATGCAACACTCGTCCACCAAGGTGAACTCCAATATGAGATGGCAGATCTGTAGGGAGACAGGGAGATCCACTCCTGTGCCGCATCTCTCCGCACGGGCCACTCCAGAGTAGAGGAGAGTTAAGCCTCTCTCGAAACCTTGGTTCCCTGGCCGTATGTGGAGGTGAACTGAATATTTCTAGCTGTTAATGCTCCACCTCTCACAAAAGTTCAGGCTCCTTGCATACCTCAATTTTTTGGTCATCATGAGGGATTTTTGAACCACTCTTAGTCTGACCTGTCACCCAGACCATGTTTGCCTTATGTTACGATCACTGAAGCAGCGCCACACTAGCTTCTGAGTATACGAGGTGTGTGACACGCTTCACAACAACAGATGCTGAAGTTGGAAAGATTGACTTTTTCTTGCTCAGCACTGCTGATGCAGCTCCCAACTATGATCACTCCTCTGAAACACTTTATTAACGCCTAAATTAACTTAAAATGTCAAACCCTACCTGCAAAATATGTTCCTGTTTATAATCCTGGTGTCTGCAGTTTGTACCAGATACCACATACTGCCGGTATGGGGGGCTTTGAGCTTCTCTGACAGAGAAATAATATTTAAAGGCAGGATGGTAATCTGGATGAACTGACTGCACAGATGATATTTTAAACTACTTTCTACCCACTGACCAACGCAAATATAGCAAAGACACTCTCTGCCATTGACCACGGGAGCAGCAGCAGCATTAGACACATCTGGACACTTTACTAGACACGCGGCAAGTCGGACCTTTATGTGTACAAACATCAAAAATGAAGCTGCAGTCACTTTTTTGGTGCTGAAATCGCATGCTGTGTGAATGTAGCATAAGAACACCCTACCCACCCCACACATTTAAGCCCTAAACACAGCCTTTGTGATCATAGAGGCTCTGAGACCTCTGCATCCTGTTAAGGGGACAGTTCAAGGAGGGGTCCTTCTGTATACTCCTCATAAATCCTGTGTCTTCTTTCCTAAAGTTTTTTTTCTTGTAAAGTTGTTAATTCAGATCACTTGTGATCCATAGTTTATTATTTGGGAAGCATTGGGAAGCATCCCAAATAATAAACCAAATAATGGTTTATTATCTGTGAAGTAAATAGCTCCTCTCTCTTCTCCTTGCTCTTACTCTTGCCAGATGTTAAAGAGCTGCCATGATTACACATAATAACAAGTGTCCAACAAGGAATAACAATAAAAGTACTTCCAGTTTCATAGCATTCAACATCAGAGCCCAAAAACATCAGAAAAAGAAACTGATATACAAATGGAGGAAGTAAAGTTATTATAAAAAGGAATATCAGTCAAGCTGGCAGAACTACGCCAATGTGCAGTGGACTTAATTATTTAGAATATGTTTTTAAATATTTAATTATGTGCTTGATATAATTGAAAATATGGGGGCATCAAGAGCAGTAATTTCTACTGGGCTTAAAGTGAATATGGTCTGTAAAATAGAGAGGAGAATTCCATTAGGAAAACTCAATCTGAAAAGGAGAATTTTGAAAAAGTTTAATCACATAAAATCTATGAAAAAAGTTTTAAAGAATAAAAGTTTAATTCCAAAAAAAAAACTTTGTTTCCCCAAGATTGAAGATGTTTTGCTTCCCATTTAAGAAGCTTTCTCAACTCAGAATGTCTTGAGTAGCATTTGAGATCCAGGCTTATAGAGTACCCCAAATAAAAGCCTTGTTATGGCTTAGAAAACATACAAATTGAAGCAAAAGAAACCCCGTTCCACCCCTTAGTAATCGGGAGTCATTGATGTTGTTGTTTGCCTGCAAAATCCGTTACTGGCCCATGTCTCTGAAAAAGGGAGTCGTTAGGGACATTGCTGGCCTTGCTGAACAGGTGAGATGTTTTCTTCAAACTTGGGAAACAAAGTCCATCGGTTAGTATTTTGTTTACTTTTCTTTTTTTTACTTTTTTTGAATGACTTTGACGTGGTTGACTGATAATCTTCCATCCATTTTCCGACACGCTTATTCCTACTGGGGTCGCGAGGGGTGCTGGTGCCTATTTCCATCTGTCTACGGGCGAGAGGCCGGGCAACACAGAGACAAACGTGATAAACAACCATTCACACAGACACTCACACCTAAGGACAATTTAGAGAAGCCAATTAACCTAACTGTCATGTTTTTGGACTGTGGGAGGAAGCCGGAGTACCCGGAGAGAACCAACGCACGCAGGGAGTACATGCAAATTCCATGCAGAAAGACCCCGGGCCGGTAATCAAACCCTGAACCTTTTTGCTGCAAGGCAGCAGGGGTACCCACTGCTTTACTGAGCACTAGAGACTGACCTTTTTTTTCAGGAATCCCACGGGTCACGGGATTCCCGTGGGCTGGGAGTCAGTATTAGTAAAGATCACGTGATTGGGACGGTACAGGATTAAACATTAACGGGAGCAGACGGGAGCGGGAGCAAACCAATAATAACTAAAAAAAAACTAGGATCGATGCCAAAAAATGAAATAAAATAGAAAGAAAAAAATCCAGTACTGGCACTGCCCTTTTGTAGTTTTTTTCCTTGAAGCTTACACTATAATGCGAGTCAAAAAAACTACACGACCCAAAAACCAACAGTGCTTCCGCTCTGAGTTTTTCACCCGCGCTCAAAAACAAGAATGGGAGTGGTGCAGGAGCGGGAGTCATTCTGAATGGGAGCGGGATGGGAGTGGGAGTAATTTCACCAGGAGTGGGACGGGACAGGATTTAGATTTCTACTCTGGCCCGGGATCGGGACGGGACACAATTTTTTTCTGTGGGAGTGGGACGGGACAGGAGTGAAAATCCACTCCCGTGTCAGTCTCTACTGAGCACTGAGAATCTTCACCAGAATAAAATAAAAAAATATATTTATACAGATTAAATATTAGAAAAGAGCAAGGTTGCTCTTGAAATGCTTTTTTTATGACGCCTTTTTGGATTTAATGTTTTGTTCAAACTACTATTCGCAAAATATATTTTTTACTTGCTAAGATAATGAAAACAAAATACACTCCATGCAAACATGAGGAAAGTCCAAATCATTTGATCATCAGCAGCTATTGGCCATGACTGGCTGAGGATTAAGTGGAAATTAACAAACACAGCACTAGTTCAGGTGTACGTTCTTCACCAAATGGAAAACAGACAAAAGATAGCTGGCTGAAGAAAACAATTCAGGATTTTGACAGCAGTCTGGATGAACTTTTTTATATTACATTCATTGTATTATTTATGACATTTTAAGTATTGTGAATCCAAACAGGCTATTAAGAATTTTCTTTATTCATCTTGATGTTGTGATCTCCTTTTTCCCTCAGGTTTGGGATCTACTGTCCATGTGCTGTTTGCTGTCACCACAGTCCTGAAAGCCAGAGAGAACTGACCTCTGCGTTGCCACCGTTGTGGAAGTATGGGATCATCCACTCTGGGCAAGGCAGCTTCACTTGATGCACTGCTAATTGAATGCATTCATACATTTGGTGAGTAACAGGACCTTTTCATACCTGTGAATAATTGACTCTTCATTATGGGCCGTTAATGTAACGTGTTTCCAAGTTTAAAATCTGAACTGAATTTGGACTTGTTATAACAACAGGCTGACTTTATTCATATGGCCAGATAGTGTTTACTGAACTGAATTTTTGGAACAAAGAAAGCAATTATGCCTCCGGTTGAAATCAGCAGCAAAAATAACGTTGTGCACACGCTGCTGTCTGCTGGCAGTAGGCAACTTATTCATCCATCAACTTGGCAGCTTCCAAAGCTTTAGCTCCTGTTTCAGTAATTGCCAATGTTCATATTGTATTCTGAGCTTTAGTTTTGTGTCTTACACCATATAGTTTTTTTTTTATTTTTTAACATGATCTAGGACTTATCTTAATTTTCACCCCTTTGATGTTCTTGACTGACCCCTCTGTTCCACTGGATGTGGTGCAGATATGGCTTTGCAGCTGACCACAGCAACTCTAGTCTGTCGTAGGTTTTCCTCCTGGAGCGCCACTTTGACACTCAGGGTGCATAACATGTTGTTGCAGCAATTGGTGAAAGATTTATATGAACTGCAAAGTACAAAACTAACACTATGGGCCCTGTCACACCTTGCCGATTTAGCCAGCATATGCTTGACATCCCAGAATCTCCTAAAATGCTGGCAGATGCTGAACTTTCTATGTATTTTTTTATTTTATTTTGGGCGTATACATAGAGTATTCATAACCAGTGGAGATATGTCCAAAGACAGTTTAACTTAACTGGATAATGCACAACGGCGTTATCGTGAAGGGGGCAGCAATGCACAAGGAGGTGCCCGGTGTACATAAAAAGATTTCTTTGATCAGGGTGTTAACCTAGCTGTTTACCACCCGCCTCCAAAAAATAAATAAATAAAAAGGAAAAAGGAAAACTTACACTTATACACTGTAAGAGTTTTTACCCTTTTCAGGCTGATTCTCCAATTGTGCGAGAATTTCTAGGATCGGGCTGAGATTCAGCCTTAAGGGCTGGTTATACTCCCACAGCAGTGTGTCGCAGTAAGCTTGTCATATGAGGCAGACATTTTTGATTTATGCTCAATATTGAAGCGTAGTCTGCGCTATGTTCATTCCACGCCACAACGCAAACGGGGAAAATCACAAACTCGCTGTGGGTCTAGGTATGGCCGAGGCGGTGAGAAAATGTGGGCAAGTTTGTCTGACAACAGAGGCACATGAGGGCGAAAAATAGCGGTTATCCAGGTGGAAAAAAGGGTCCCAGCAGTCTGTGTTCACCTACAATTTGGGAGAGGTGCAACAGAGTGTCTGTGGAGGGAGTGGGGACGTCTCTGACGTATGAATAATCTGGCAAAAACAGTGGAAAACGTTGGATAAGTTATGGGTAAGTTTTGTATAAGTTATGAGCATGCTGAAGCGTGCTGACTCACACTGGCACATGTTCGATACTGTGACACCTACGCAGATGACCTAGTTTCGAAGTATAAATCAGCCTTCATCATGCGTCATGTAGTATACAGGGGGTAACGAGGGGCGATTAGGCTCTCAAGACCACCTCCCAATCAGGAATCGTAAGAAAATCAAATGTTTGAAATTCAGTCGGCCCTTCTGAGGTGTTAGTGGGTAAATCCTGCTGTTTAAGCAAAACTACGAGCTGATTTACCAGAACCTCGAGCACTGCGCATGTGGAAATAACAAAGTTCTTTTTTCTTCCAGATTGACAAGTCTCACCAGCACCATCTCTTGGCGCTGAGTCCAATGTGTGGTTTTTGGACATACAGTGTGATTAGCTAGATCACATCAGAGCGTTGGGCAGTACAGAGGTTGAAAATATCGTACTGTGTATACCCGGCTTAATGTGACCAACAGGGAGCAAAAGAATTTATCAACTGTCCAAACAGTCAGTTTGAGTTCACTATAAGGTCCACTATATAGTACCCGCTCTATTTAGCGAGGGACGGATTTAGGGGTTATGGCAAATATTCAGAAACAGCCTAAGTCTCCCCACTAGGTCTACTTTCTGTGAATGGATATCATGTAAAAAAAAAAAAAAAAGAATTTCAACTTTCTGCTCTTTAGAAAAAAGGAAAAATGCTTTTGTTTTCTCTGAACATTATTTAAACTAAAAAGAACAGACATTTTTAATGTGTTAGACTCCTGCTAAGCACAGAGGAGAAAAACTTTTAGTGCAGAAATTAACACATTGTCCTTGGTCTGTAACCAGATTGTAACCCATTTGCCTTCAGTAGATTAGAGTTCCGGATCTATGCTTTTGCCTTCAAACAGACCCTAACCTTCCCCGTGATGACATCAAGACTAATCAGTTGTGAAAAGCCTTAGGATTTCAAACTCACCTAAGACACAGATGAGGTGATAATTGTTATGTTATGGTACATTATAAAAGCAAAAACAATGTGTGATGTAGTGAAAGTCACATACTCGTGTGATTCAAAGCAATTTAGATAATTCGAAAAAATTCCACAGTAATTGTCCATTAAGAATGATTAAGAAAATAAACACCCAGTCTTGGTTTTATCTTCTGTCTCACTTACAGAAATGATCCATGCAACAGAGATGCATTTATTTGATAGAGATAGGGAAAGGGGCAAAACCCCAAAATATAGCCTGTGTGACCATGGGCGAGTTAGATGGGGGAAAAGTGGACCTGACTATTAACAGGCATCATTAACAAATTTTATATCAGAGTGCACCCAAAACATTCTGGAAGACAATGGTAAATGTCTAAATTTGCCAATGTTAGTTGAATGTGCTGAAGTTTGCATCTCCTCTACTCTTTTCTTTGCTCTTCCAACTCTTTTTTTGTAGTACTACCAATATTAACTCTCAACTGATATCCTTCCCAGATCAATTAAAAGCACTCTTTTTTTTAGGAGATATCGTTACCGGTCTTCATAGGATGCTTTAAGCTTCGAGATCTGTCCAAACACAGTCATAATTAAAAATACAGGGGGCATGGCTCCCTGACGCACATCAACCAGTAACTTGAAAGAATGTGCCTTGTACACCCCTGGGCTTGAGCGGGTCATGAGCTGAGGAGCACCCTTCATGGATGTTTCGCTCCTTTAACCCCAGTACATCTCTTGGTGGCAGAGCACAGGCAAGGACATCTCCCTGTCGCCCCTTGCTGATGCCCTAGGAGTTAGGCCCATACCCCCTATCTCTCCGCTTTAGCAACAACCAGAAATGATACTTTTCTGCCTCCTCTGCCAATTCCCTGATTGATTTGCAATGTCCAGCTCCAGAGCATCCGAGTTTGCACAGCAGGTGGACCATTGAGGTCCCAACAAATCTCCTATAGCCCACCTCAGTGGGGCATTTGACGGCTTTCCAGCCAGCCTCTCTGCACTCAGCTGCCTAGTCTAAATATTGGGTGCTCATTGGCAGCCTCCATGTCCTGCTCCCACGGAACAGTGAGCTCCACCAGGGAGACGGTCTTGCATGGAACTGAAGACAAGATCAGGCCTGGCCGCAATGATGTCTCCACTATCTCCCTTGGGAAACCTTAGGTGAGAGTAGGCTTGATGGTATTGTGCAGTTGGCAGCTTTGGGGTTGTCCCAGGGTCTTGTGAAGAGGATGGGCGGCATCACTGCCTCTGCCGCCTCTGCCAGCTTACTCAACACAGAGTTTTGTCTCTGCCTGTACTGACCTTGAGAGATTGTGATCTTGCAACCAGATAGGATGTGCTTGAGGCTTGGATTGATCTTATTACAAAATGAGCAGCTCTCTTCATTACCAAATAATTGGTGGGGGTTTTGTGGACAGGGTAGGGTGTCATAGGTGTCTCTGATCAAAAAACCGAACCTGGCTTGGGGGATTTTCTATAGATCACACCATGACATGGGCCTGTCTGAGATGCCTTCCCATGACAACCAGCCTCCCTGTCTGTTTCGCAACACAGCCTTTACATCCTGTTCTATCCTGTTCTGTCCTTGCCACTTCTGCCACCGACATTCTTCGTTCTTTTGAGGCCTTCGATTAAAAGAGAGGGGTCTGGCTTTTCCCCAACCCTGCTCGACCCTTCTGGACTCTGCCCACCACCACCTTTTACAGTATCCCATTGGGGGCTGAGGCTACTCTTGCTTTGTGCACAACCTCTTCTACTTTGATGAGTTTGGGCAGAGCAGTGTCAAAGAGGTAGGATGGGGCATCTGGGCATGGAATATAGTCTGGTGGTCCTAGCGGAGTCTGTTTTGATGGGTCTCTTTAGTGTTCCTAGAAGTAACTTTCCAGCTCTTATTGTGCGATCTCCAGCTTGCTGCTAGTCTTATCCTCTAGCAGCTGTCTTGCATGCCTCAAAGGATTCCTGAAGCAGCTGCTCCTCTCCTTCACCTTTTGGGTCTGCGCTCTGCTCCCTGTAGGCTGCTAAGGCTATTCCTAACCTCCTCCCATAATGACTTAAGGCCCTCCCTCCCCTCTGCATCAGCCTTTCTCCACTGCTTTCGTAGGCGAAGCCACCTCTTCACCAGGAGCACTCAGGGCAGTGACCCCCAAACTTGAGGACTGGTTACAGCAGAACCCTGGAAATACATCAGACATCTCGGTCCAGAAAAGTGCAGTTCTAAAAACAGCAAAGATACTGCAGGCGACAGTGGTGTCGGATGTAGGAGTTTGCCCTGAAATCGAAGGACTGACAGTTCAAGCCCTGGCTTGATTTTCAGTGTTGTTGTGTCCTTGGGTAGACACTTCACCTGCATTGTCTACTGATGGTGGTCAGAGGGCCCGGTGGCGCCAGTGTACGGCAGCCCCACTTCTGTCAGTGAGCCCCAGGCTCATTGTGGCTACAATGTGGCTTGTCACCATCAGTGTGTGTGCGTGTGCGTGAATGGGTGAATGACTGAATGTAGTGTAAAGCGCTTTGGTCAAGTCTCCTGACTTGAAACAGCGCTTTATAAGTACAGGCCATTTACCATTTTTACCATTTACTGCGCACAACCCTCAAGCTCTCCAGAAAAGTGCAGTTCTAGGAACAGCAAAGATACTGCACACAACCCTCAAGCTCCCAGGGCTGTGGTAGTGAGTGGATGAGGAAGAGATTTTATATATATACATGTAAATATATAAAACATAAAAAAATAAAAAATAATAACTGTTTTCTCACCCCTCGTGGGATGGTATGTGTCATCCTCAAGCTCGGGTCCTCTTGAGGGTTCTGCGCAGTATCTTAGCTGTTCCCAGGACTGCGCTCTTCTGGACAGAGACCTCTGATGTTTTACCTGGAATCTGCTGTAGCCACTCTCCCAGTTTGGGGGCCACAGCCCCCAGTGCTCCAATTACCACTGGCACCACTGCTGCTCTTACTTTCCACATCTTTTCTAGCTCCTCTTTCAGCCCTTGGTATTTCTCAAGCTTCTCGTGTTCTTTCTTCTTGATGTTGCTGTCGCTTGAGATTGCCACATCTATCACTACTGCCTTCTTATGCTGTTTGTCGATCAACACGATGTCTGGTTGGTTAGCCATCATATATATATAGGGTGACCAAACGTCCGTATTTCCCGGGACATATCCGTATTTCACGTCCTGTCCCGGGTTTTTTTTAGAAAGTGAGGAAATGTCCTGATTTTTTCGACGCTGCGTGTGACGTAATCCCTGAGTCACGTCAGTGCGGGCAGCCCTGCTCTTAATCAGAGGCTCTGTTCGAAAACCTGGGCTGCATCCTCCAAGGACGCGGTCTACCTAGACTGGATCCTTCGAAGTCCTTGAAAATAAGGAGGCCGGAAGAGTTTTGGCTGTGAATTCGACCAGGTCTACCCTTTGGCGGGTTTTACCGCCGTATGCTCTGTTGCTTAGCAACCGTAAACGTTGACACACAAAGCAGGAAAAGAATGAATACCGAGGTTTTCAAAACTGTTTATTTATTTATTTTTTAAAAAGTTAAAGTGAACAAAGACTACACTCACAAGAATCCAGAGTGGAATAAAGGTTCCAACCACCGGGAGCAGGAACTAATAAAATCAAATGTAATGATAGAAACCTTAGTCAGTTAAATAACCTGCTGCTGTCATTCTGCACATCTCTGATGTTGCTGTTATTTTCAAATATCCATTACTGTAAAAATGTCCATAGCTGCATATTGGTTATTTATTCCCCAGTTTTATATTGTTAAAACACTTTACAGAATTGTATTGTTTATATTTTAACTCTTCCCTATTATGTTATTCTTAGACATTTTTCTAAGGTCCACATTTGTGTGACAATTTTTAATAATCTTTCTGCTGCTGTAAATTTGCCCATTGTGGGACAATTAAGGGATTTTCTATTCCATAAAAGCGTTAGAAATATATAAGTAAATCTAAACAATGTATGTACAAAATATATTTGCAAAATCTCTAATATTCAAAATCAAAAAATACTTAGTTAAGCATATTGTGCAAAACAGTAATAAAAAGATTAAACTCCTATCAGATTTATAGTTCCCACTCTGCAGAAATATTAGAATCTGTCCTTTAATTCCAGCCAAACCCATTTACACAGTAACAGATAAAAACCTTTAGATAAGCTAAACATTACCGCCACATATCTGCCTCTATAACCATTAAAACAACTATTTTCATTCATTTCAGACGGAACTATTCACAGAGTTGTATTATATTAAACTGAACTTCCAATTTTAACCACTGTTCGGGGCCAAGTAACATTTCCTCTGATCACGGAGCAAATCCCGATGATGAGACATTATTTCTTTCATTGTGCTATTTATTCATTACAGGAATTGTTAAGCATTTTTAATAAATACATTTTGAATAAAAGTATTGTTTGTTATTGGAGTTATTGCTGTTGACTTTTACTGAAAAGAATTTTTAATAAATCAACTGTAAATATAATGTTATTGTAGGATTACGTAGGCCTACGTTAAGTGAGTGCATGCCACACACATCTCTATGCATGGGAACAGAGATCCCACCCCCACCCCCCAAGGTGTCCTGGTTTTCCCAAATGAAAATATGGTCACCCTATATATATATATATATATATATATATATATATATATATATATATATATATATATATATATATATATATATATATATATATATATATATATGGTACTGATGCAACATGTCGACATAAATGCTGCATATATTCACCTGAATCGAGGGATCACTCAGTTTCATTACTTCCTTACATGCAAGTGACTTTTGTTACTTTCTTTATATTTGCTTCTTTTCTATGTCTCTTTCTTTCTCCTTAAACCCCAGTCGGCCTCAGCTGATGGCAGCTCACACTGAGCCTTGCTCTGGTTCTGCTTGAGCTTTCTTCCTGTTAAAAGGGAGTTTTTCTCTCCACTGTTGCTACAAGTATGCTTGGTTTGTAAGTCCACATCTGTAAAATGCGTTGAGATGACATGTTTTGGGAATTGGCGCAATAGAAGTAAACTGAATTGAACTGAATAGGAAATATCATACCCCCATACTTTCTGCTGTTACTTTAAATATATATGTAAGTACTCAAAGTAACAGAGCAAAAACAAAGTGTTAAACACAAAAAATAAGAAAATAGTAACACCATGAATATGTAATCAGAAGGCCTTTCTATGCAATTAGAGTTAGCTATGCGTGTAGAAAGTCATATAGTCAAAGTACGTAACAAAGCTCCTTCAAGACAGACATTTTGTTTAATATCCCTTCTATTGAGCCTCTTTTTGTTTTACAGATGATGATGGTCAGCTCCATGGTAACCTGCTTCCACGTACACTGCTCCTAATGCATCGCTGGTATGTTACATCGGCTGAGCTTGCAGGAAAACTACTGATGATATATCCCATCGCTGCTGTAACGTGTCTCCATAATGCTGTTGTATTTAGTGATTTTATTTTTAGTGCAGTTATCCTCCTTGGCTTTCCACCTGCTTTTTCCATAGAGATGGACAGAAGATATCTTAGAGTAGACCTTTGTTCATAGAGTCCTAATTGAAAATGCTCTATATCAGGGGCAATTCCAGTTCGTGAGGGCCGGTATCCTGCAACTTTTAGATGTGCCTTTGATTGAGATGACTCTGTAGGAACTGACTGTGTCCGAACGTCCGCCCTAACCCCAAACTCCTTAATTACCTTATAGAACGGGGTCTACACTGCAAAAATGATCTATAAATAAGTCCAAATTTTAAGTTAAGTTTATTTAGCCTTAATTTGAGCAGGTAAATAAGATGATCTGCCAATGGAATTAATATTTTTACTCCTCAAATAAGATAATTAGATAATATGCCTTGAAATAAGAAAATGCAATAATTTTTTCTTATTTTAATGTCATGATCGGTTTTACGAATCTGACCCACATGCAGAGAAACCACTCAGAGAGCAGGGAAAAGGTTTAACAGGTTTATGGCCTGCACCATCTTTGTCACAATTACAATAAATCCGACGAAGCTTTGCGAGGAGAGCTCTCCTTGCAAAGCATTTGGGGATATAACTGCTTATCTAGCGAACATGGATGATCACTGCTTTTCAAGATTCATTTTGAGAAAATTTTCATCCACTACTTTTTCCCATTACACATTCAGACACTCATTAAAAATGGCGTAACCCCTATATAGCGCCCTATATAGTGATAAGGGCGGTGGTTTGGACACGCCTACTGACTGCACACCGGGGAGGTAACTTAGCAGTTGATTCTGGTGTGCTGGAGTAAATGTGAATCTAAAAGTTGCAGAACATCGGCCCTCGGGAACTGGAATAATCCACCCCTGGTCTATCTCCTTGGCTCTAATGAGATTCCATCTTTGTCAACTCTTTAAACATATCAGCCTGTAATATCTCCATAATAAGTTTCTTTTTAGAAGATCTGTTTTTAATTGAAAGTCCTTAACCAAAGTCTACGTACCGTGACTGTACAGATGACGACTGCAAGACGACCAGGCTAAAGATTTGCTATTTGATGAGGTAAAGAACCAAACACACATTCTGTCTTTACTGGCACAACTTTTTTTAGGCTGTACACCTTTCTATTTCTAAACCTGCTAAATATTGCTTCTTTTCTATGTCTAAACTTGGGTTTAAATAATTTCTCATGGTTTTACTGATAAATTGCATGAAAGTTTAGGCCTGCCACAGTTGCACTAACTCCACCATGTTGTTAACACGTCCCTTACCTCTTTACCCTTGCTGCAGTCATAGAGGAGTTGCACCAACCTGCATACTTTTTTAAAGTATATCGCATCTCTTTCCAATTTACAACTCCATGGCCTTAAAGGGGTCGCATCAATCCCATTACTTTCCCACACTTTTTCGGACATCTTTTTCCTCTTTACCTCTTCCAGTGTTGTTGGGGGTCACACAAACACTGGATGTGTTTTTACAGTATCTCGCATCTCTTTCTTATATACCCTGCATGCATTTTTAAAATGGATGCACAGTGTTGGTGCAGAGATTAAACAGGTGACCCATAACAGGATCAAGTCCTGGCCTGGTGACCGCTGACCCATGTCCTCCCCTCGCTCTCTAATTCTGTTTACTTTCAATTACCTACTTTCCTAGAAAGTAGTTAGTAAGTACTTTCAAGAAATACCAACAATAAAAGGCAAATGGGGCTACTAAAAATCTTGGGGTGGCGCATTGAAACTAAAAGCCATCATTTCAGGGTTTGAATCAACTATTGTGGTAAACCTGCCAGTAGAAATCACAAAGACTTTAATAAACACCTACTCGCCTACTTTATTGTGTGATTTTTAATGTTACGACACTGGTTGTGCATAATGGGATGAAATGCTAAACGGATGCTACTACAATTAACACTGGCCAGTGGGGCGGCCAGGGCATTGCACAGGGTAACGGTGGCCACCCCTGGCCATCCCCTGGTGGCGCCACTGGGAATGGGGCATGGAAAAGAACACATAAAGTCCACAAAAAGGGTTTACTCTCCCCCTCAGAGATGGCGGGCTTAATTTCCTCGTGATTTCACTCAATATGTGTTGCAGAAGTACAGAGAAGCACCTGTGCTGTGCCCTATGCTTCATTCACACCAAACTTGATTTCCATCGCTAAAAAGCGTCTGCTGCTTCATTTTTGATGTTTGTCCACATTAAGGTCAGACGTCCAGTAATGTGTCCAGATGTGCCTGATGCTTATGCTTCTCCTGTGTTTAATGACAGAGAGCGGCTTTGCTATATTTGCTTTGATAAGTGGGTAAAAAGTAGTTTGAATATATTTTTAAGTGAGAAAATCCACCAAAAAACATCGTCAGTGCAGTCAGTTCATCCAGATTACCATCCTGCCTTCAAATATTATTTCTCTGTGGAAGCCGCTCAGACCCCCACATACCGGCGGTGCGCTGTCACTGGGAATCCCCAGTAGCAGCTGCCTCAGGCCCGGTCACCTCTTGGGGTTTTCCCCTACTGTTGGTGGCGGCTGGAAGTAGATGTTAGTGTTTTTCATGCCTATGGTACAAACGTAAGGCACCAGGATAATACAACTAAACATATTTTGTCGGCAGGTTTCAACATTTTAGGTTAATTTAGGAGTTAATAAACCGTTTCAGAGGAGTGATCATAGCGCTCTGCATCAGCAGCGCTGCGTCTGTCTCCCTGCCAGCTCCCAGATCAGCTTCTCTGATTGGTTGTTGTGTCAGAAGGCTCAGAAAATAGAACCCAGAGTTCAGGCGAGACAGACAGTGATATAGTCAAGAGTTTATTGAAGTAGTGAGCGACTGCTCGACTGCTCCGGAGGCCTCACCGGACACTCAGCAGGAGTAGGGGCTCAAGTCAGTGACTTCAAAACTCAAACGATGGATAATAATGAGCATGAAAACCACCAAACTGGCCAAGTTCAGTCTGTGCCCAGAAGAAGGAGCGTTGTCCAGAGAAGTCGTACTTCGTTGCTTTTTACTGAGCCAGCACCAGAGGTCCAGGCCAGAAGAGGAGCAGCGTCCTTCAGCAGCCAGAGAATGTATGGGAGCCAAAAGATCCAAGAGGTTAATCCAAGCCATTGTCAGAAGACAGGTCCGCGGTCAGCAGCAGGTGGAATCCAGATACTGTAACAGTCCAGAAAACACAGAACCGGCAAACAGGGGCAGTCAAAAACTCAGTAGTGCGAGGGCAGAAACAGATCAGGAACCGGCAGAACTAAACAATGGGAACCCTAGATTTAGTCTTGCTGAGAAGCTTGAATAATACAAAAGCTGGGGTCCAGAGGCTTAAATAGCAGCAAAAACAGGCGGATGAGATAAGAGCTAATGAGCACAGGGCAGAGCAAAGCAGAAGAGAACACCATCTCTAGTAAGTCAGAGAGGTTCTACCCATTGCATAGCCATGTGTTTCTGAACCCTTCCAGATGTGCCCTGCAGCTGTTCCATTGAAGATCGCCGAATCAATTCGACATCAGTCTAGAACCGAGTGGATCATTCAGGCAGGAGGTCAATTGATCTAAATTAAAATGAAGTTGAGATTAAATGTAAGAGAGTACATGTGCAGACTGTGGATTGCATTTTCTGGATGTTTATGGAATACCAAATTTACTCAACAACCATCATAAATATAAGGGATTGGATTAAAGAACATACCCATAAAATGAAATATTGAACTTCATTTATCCATGATAGACTGAAGGAAAACAAGGTGAGGTTTTATTCGATAATGAGCAGCCAAGCAAGCCATGGTTAGTACTGGCCAAATAACCACTTTTTCTGATTTATTGTTCTATCTAAAGCATACAGGTACACTACTATAGCATAGTTACCGCTTACACATACAATGGAAACCCGGCGTTTTAACACCAAGCTTTCACACTATAAGGACAAGAGTAATGCTACATTCACACAGCAAGCAGCAGAGGCAGCAGAAGCAGCTAGTTTACATGCAAAGTCAACCCGTAGCGAGTTTTGTGCAGCAAGAGCATTGCATCATGAGCTAAACATCTGACGCACGCGACACGCTTCAGAAGCAGCAGCTACTGAAGTTGGAAAGCTTTAACTTTTGCTGCTGAACACACCACATCAACCAATCATAGAAGCTGATCTGGGAGCTGGCAGGGAGACAGACACAGAGCTGCTGATGCAGATCGCTATGATCAATTCTCTGAAACGGATTATTAACACCTAAAATAACTTACAATGGCAAAACCTACCGGCAAAATATGTTCGATTTTATTATTCTGGTGCCTTCAGTTTGGCTTACATACATGAAAAACGCTAACTTCTACCTCCAGCCGCCACCAACAATAGTGGACAACCACAAAGAGGCAACTGGGCCTGAGTCAGCTGCTGCTGGGGATTCCCAGTGACAGCGCACCACCAGTATGTGGGGGTCTGAGCGGCTCCCTCAGAGAAATAATATTTGAAGGCAGATTGGTAATGTGGATGAACTGACTGCACAAACTATGCTTCCACGTGGAATTACTCACTTGAGAATAGATTCAAACTACTTTCTACCCACTGATCACAGCAAATATAGCTGCCATTGTTACAGACAAAGGAAGGATAGGCTAGCTCCACCCAATGCGCATCAGACCCCATGTTACGCCGCGCAGCAAAGAGGATTCAGCCATGCGTCTGAACAAAATTTTTACCAGCATCAAAAATGAGACAGCACGTGCTTTTTTTCATGACATTCTTTCAGCCTAAACATCTGTATTCCCATTAAACTAATCCAGAGACTAACACAGTATTTTAGAATAACTCATATCTGGAGCCTATCTATCCTGTAACACTTCATCATAGTTATGGTGCGTGTTTTTTTAGCATCTGCTAATTGCTACAAACCTGTCGTTGTACACATGCACATGTAGGTACTGGATTGTGACCTTCCCTGCAGAATTCAACCTGGATTTGGGACTGATCCAGATAATGGAGGAGTTCAGGGAGGCTGCCACTCAACTTGGTTGTGAGGCGCATTTTAAACTCATCGACATTTCAGCCATGTAAGACTTAAAACACACACATCACAGTGAAAAAGGGGAAATTTTGTTTGTTTTATTTTGAAATGGTGCTTTTTAGTAAAACATGGAAGAATAACAGTCTCATTGGAATCTGCCTTTTTTCGTACACCGAATTATATACACTGAATTTTTTTAGCACTGAATTTTTTTATTCATTGGATTCCTTACACTGAATATTTATGTTAAAAAATTGCCTGCAAAAATTTCAGCTGCAAAAAATTTGCCTGCAAATCTGTTGACCTATTGGTGAACTCAAGCTAAAGCAATCTACACTTGATACAATCGAGCAGCTTCTAACCAATGAAATTAGCTTTGTTCCAGGCGGAATGAAGCTGAATGAGGAATTTTTCTTTTTAAATAGATACGATTACAAAACTTCAGGTGGCTACTCATAGAAGACATTAGAGTTTTTCATCTAGTCAGACTGGGTGAAATAACTGAGCTGATCACAGCTAGTGTGGCACCCGTGTCTGCCGAGGCTCTTGGTTTGATCCAGAAGAAGCTACCTGCGGCAAACTTTTTTTTTTTCTGACGAAAGTTAATTTCATTGGCTAGATTGCTTTGGCTTGAGTTCACCAAAAGGTCCACACATTTGCAGCTAGTTTTTTTGCAGGGGAATTTTTTGCAGCTGAATTTTCACCAGATAAAAATTCAGTGAGAGGAAGTCAATGTGTAAAAAAAATTCAGTGTTTAAAATTCGGTGCAAAAAAAAATCTGTATCTAAAATTCGGGGTACAAAAAAAAAAAAAAACAGATTCCAATGAGGCTGTTTTTCTTCCATAAGCAACAAAGCTGAGAAAAACTTTTCAACTTCTCTCTGCCAATTCGCAGCAGCTCCCTCTGCTACTTTTTTTTCTTTTCTACTTTTTTTTCCCACATTTAACGTAGAAAACAATATATAAAATGTGATGCTAGGTCACGATCCTGGTTTGTCTAGCTCAGAGTGACCATCTTTACATCCAAGTTTGAGACAGCTGCTGCACACATAAATACATTTCTTTCTCCATAGAAACTGGAGGAAAGGGTATGTTCCAATGTTTTTTCTGTCCTGTTAATCCAGGGGTCGGCAACACAAAAAGCAGATTTGGTTGAAGGTGAAAAATGGTCTTAAATAGGCCTAGTCAGGATTCTAAGTGTATTTGTTCTCTTACACACTATATTAAAAGAAACAAACAAACAAACAAACAAAAATATCATCATTTTCTATTTTCATACAGTTTAAAAAAGAACCAGAGAGCCACAAGGGGGCACTAAAGAGCCGGATATGGCTCTGGAGCCGCAGGTATGGGACCCTCCTGTTAAACCATCAGCACATGATGTAGTCTTTTATCCAATCAATTAAATTCAGTTTATTTCTATAGCACCAATTCACAGCACATGTCATCTTAAGGCACTTTACAGTTCACCAGAACAAGCAGTCAGATTGATTCAAAGTTTTCTAAAGAAAACCAGTTGATTGCATTGACTCACTGACTCGAAGGCAATCCCTCACACTAAGCATGCTTGTAGCGACAGTGGAGAGAAAAACTCCCTTTTAACAGGAAGAAACCTCCAGCAGAACCAGGCTCAGTGTGAGCGGCCATCTGCTGAGAACAGAGATTGATTGAAGCAGAATGATGAAGGGGTCCCTATGTCCTCCAGCAGTCTAAGCCTATAGCAGCATAACTATAGGGATAGCTCAGGATAACCTGAGCCACTCTAATTATACGCTTTATCAAAAAGGAAAGTTTTTAGCCTACCCTTAAAAGGAGACAGAAAAACAACTCAAAACATATTTTAAAATAGGATTATTAGAGCGATGAAATTCAAGGCATTAAAAATACTACAATACATTAATAAAAATTAATACTTCTGGGGGGCAAAAAATATGTGATCCAAGTTTTTAACCTGGGAATGTTATTTGGCTAATAGGATTCTCCTTCAATGAAAGAATAAAACCTTTCGGATGATTTTAGTCTTCCGACTTACTGTCTCTAAATCTCCCCACAGTCCATCCTATGATTGGATGAGGAAGCTGACCCAAAGGAAGAAGCAAGCTAAGAAAGGGAAAGCCTCGCTGCTGTTTGACCATCTGGAGCCTGTGGAGCTGGCAGAACACCTCACATTCCTGGAGTTCAAGTTTATCCGGAGGATATCAGTACGTCAAACTATACACATTCAACTCAACCCTCTCATGGTGCTGAGAAGTTCATGAGAAATACTGATGGTTTCCTTCCCACTGGAAGCCTGAAACTGACTGTGGACAAACCTTTGCTGTACAGTCATAGTTGATAAATTAGGCTAATAAAAAGTTAATAATTTCAGTAACTCAGATCGCTGATGGAAACGCAGACTGACCATTTATCACTGTTAACCACAATAATATTCTACTTATAGCACATAAAAAAAAAACACTTTCCTGAACATTTGACTGTGGACGTAAACAAAAATATGTTTAATACCTGCTTACAGGCTGTTGTGTTTAAAAGGTATTTGTAATCAGACAGACAATCCTCAACAGAACCGATATCCAGATATATTGGGAATGGCTATTTAGCAAAACGTTACCAACTTAGGAAACAGAAGCACACAGGGCCGCTGGAAGTACTGGGGGTGCTGTGATTTTTTTTTTTTTGGACAAAAGGCCTATGAGCCAATACTCCTATTTAAAATACAATAAATAAAACTAAATAAGTAAATAGAATGAGATTTACTACTTTATTGTCATATACAGTGCACACAACCAGGGTCTGCAACACGCAGATATAATCAGTTCTCAGGTGAGTATATTCGCTATTAATTCAACTTTACAATAAAACTATAACATGGTAGATTTGGTCAGCTGGCCTGAACCTGAGTCTATTAACTTCAAAATCCTTTTATGCAAACCAAAAGGAAATGATTATATTATTACACTATTTACACGTTATTGAACAGTTCTCCATTACACAAAGAATACAAGATCAAAATAACAATCTAAAATACTATGGTTACGTTAAACTGCAGGAATAGATATGAAAGTATAATTAAACTATTGGTGCTTTAACATACCAGGAAGCAGATTTCTCATCTCGATCAAAATATTTGTTTTATACCGAGAGGCTTAAAAGTTTAATCAAATCCAGTCAAAACTTCCAGGAGCGCTTCCGACAACTTTAAAAGAAACTTCTTATCGCAGGCCTGGATGAAGAGATGCTGAGTTGGAAGTAGAGAACAAACAGTTCATACAAACCCTGTATGATCCTAGTTATCCGTGCTACAATAATCCACAACAACATGTCATTAAATTAAGCGTTAATTTCAGCATGTTTTGCTCCTATGAAGTTAATAATAATAATATAGTGCATGCTCTCCTCCAGCTCAGAGGAAGTCGGATCGGAACAAGACGAGAGGAACCACAGAGGCTGTAGGCTTTGCTTTGTGCAGGCGGTCTGGAGCACAGCGGGGCGGGGCAGTGACAGAGGATGTGGGACTTTGGTGTTACTGTACTTTGAGCTATAGGCAGGGTGCCTTGCCCAGTGGCACCTCCAGAAATGTCTCATATGGGGGGCCAGATGTCGCCATTGAAAATCTTGGGGTGGCATACTGAAACTAAAAGCTATCATTTCAGGGTTTGAATCTAGTATTGTGGTGAACCTGCCTGTAGAAATCATAAAGACTTAAGTAAACATCTACTCATCGTGTGATTTTGAATGTTACGTCACTAGCTGTGCACAATGGGATGAAATGCTGAGATGGTACTACAATTTACACCGGCCAGTGGGGTGATCAGTGGGGTGGCCAGGGCATTGCACAGGGTGGCCATGGCCACCCCTGGTTAATTCAATTCAATTCAGTTTATTTCTATAGCGCAAATTCACAACCCATGTCATCTCAAGGCACTTTACAGTTCACCACATGATACAGTAAAATTGATTAAAAGTTTTCATTTTAAGGAAAACCAGTTGATTGCATTGACTCATTGACTCTTCAGCAATCCCTCACACTAAGCATGCTTGTAGCGACAGTGGAGAGGAAAATCTCCCTTTGAACAGGAAGGAACCTCCAGCAGAACCAGACTCAGTGTGAGCGGCCATCTGCTGAGGCCGACTGAGGGTTCAAGGAGACAGAAGCAGAGGTACAGGTGTCCAAATGTTCAGGTGCGAGCGGGACACCTCTTTACTCCACGACAGATGTTGCCATGACAATGTAACTACTTGTTGATTAGACCTCAAAATAATTGAAATAAAAAATCCAAATACACGTAATAGGAAAATAAAAAAGAGTTAAAATAATTTCCCAAAATATTCATAAGAAATTTATGAATTTCTTTAAATCTCCCTCTCGCCACTAGGGGGCGCCCCAACTTCCCGTGGCCATGGAAGCCCGTAATGAAGTGTAGTTGCAGCATCATAATGATCAAACCTTCTTTTCTAGCTTTTTACACACAAATGAAGTATTTTAAAGGCTCCTCCAAAGCAAAGACATAAAAACATGAGATAACCAATAGTCAATATCTACAGTAAAACTAGAATAAGAGCAGCAGACAATGCTAAATAATGCCTATAGTATATAGTTGCTGTAGAAATTTAAATGTAAGTCAATTTTCTTCTTGAAATAAAGCATATATAAGAGTGTAAATAGGAGAATCTGCAAACGAAATAGGATGATTTAGATTTTAAATAAGAAAAAACTCCATCATGTTGTTTTAGGTGCATAATACCCATTATTTTTAGGAAATATATACACGTTTCATTGGAAGATAAGGGAAAATGCACTTATTTTAAGATCTCAAATAAAACTGTTATAAGTTTCCAGGGGAAAAATAACAATAAGTGAAGAACACCGCTCCCCTCTGCCGGTTGAGGCTAGAGACAGAAGCAGACATAGAAAAAGAATCAGACATACAAAAGGCAACTGTCAACCAGCTCCACAGGACAACACTGTTAAACAAGCCAAGTTCCAATATAGAATAGAATGTTTTTAACTTTAGTTTCATTACACTGTCACAAGTACAAAGCAATGAAATTCACTCTCTGCATATAACCCATCCCCTTTTTGGAGCAGTGGGCTGCCATTGTGCAGCGCCCGGGGAGCAGTGTGGGGGTTAAGGGTCTTGCTCAGTGTCCCAGAGTGCAATGTCCTAGCCACAAGGCCACCACTCCCAGGACATCTATAAACAAAGGTGTTGATGGAAGCAGCACAGCTGATGTTTCTCTCCAGGATGGAGTCACAGCCAAACAGGAACAGACCAGATGAAGCTACTATGAGAAAAAGCAGAGAGAGCAGAACGTTAGAGATTGAACTAATACATTCTGCAGACTGGGAGAATAGAGGTAGAATGATGAAAAGGGGTCCCTATGTCATCCAGCATTCCAAGCCCATAGCAGCACAAATGCATTAAACATCTCAGGACAGCCTGAGCTATTTTGGATGAGGTATAAGAAAGGTAGAGCCACAGTATGGTCCAGTATATACAAAAAGAAAAAACTCTGATAACTCTGCTTTGTCCACAGTTCACTGACTATCGGAGTTATGTGATTCATGGCTGTCTGATGGAAAATCCAGCTCTAGAGCGCTCCATCGCCCTCTTCAACAGCATCTCGCAGTGGGTCCAGTTGATGGTGCTTAGCAAACTCACACCTCAGACTAGAGCAGAGGTCATCACCAAATACATCCATGTTGCTCATGTAAGTCTGAAAAAGGTCACTTACCTCCACCAACTTAAAAAAACAAATACAAAAGAACATGGTTCATGCATGACCCTCTAAAGCAGTGGTTACCAACCGTTTTTGAGCCTTGTATCACTTTGGGAATAATGTCTTAGCATGAGTATCCCTCTCAGTATTGACTGCCCAAAAGTTGAACTTATAATAACTAATTATAAAATCAAAAGTATTTTATTTAATCTTTTTAACTTAGTTATTTTGTCATGTTGGGGTCGAGGTGTCCAACCCACATGCAGAAATCACTCCTGAGGCAGAGAAAAAGTTAAATGGTTTATTAAACAAAGTTCACAAGCAAATGGGTGCACAGGTTCTTGGTTCGTCAGACTGGTCACGGGAGGGAAGCCACTGAGGAGGACAGAGCAGTTAGAGCGGATCCAGGAAACTTGCAATTTACAGATAACTGGGATAAATACCTGCTCTGAGAGGAATCTGATCAGCAGGGGGGGAATCTTGTGGGTCCAGAGGCTAGTTGGCAGGCAGAGGGCTGAGGGCAGAGGCAGAGACTGAGGCGGAGGGCAGGCAGGCAGATTCCAGACAGTGGTTATTTTCTCCAGGATGACAGGTTTCCAGATAAGTCAGGATCTGTGAGGCAGAAGAACACAGGATCAGATTGGTTCACAAAAATCAGGGTTTCAGATCAGAGAAGCTGGCTCAGGTTTTGCTGTACCAATACTGGCAAACACTCTGGCGGGGAAGTGTCAGCCTCCTCCTTCTTAAGTAGGGCCTCCTGATGAGCAGATGGGAAACAGGTGTCGCAGTCAGCTCATGCCCTCAGGAGAAATCTCGTGCGCCCTCTGGTGGAGAAAGTAGAAAAGCCTCCTGATCCCAACATACCGTATTTTCACGACTATAAGGCGCACTTAAACGTCTTTTTTTCCCCTCAAAATGTGCGGTGCGCCCTATGGTTCGGTGTGCCCTATGTGTGTTGTAACTGCGACTTTTGAGACCACCTCATTGAGGAGATGATGAAAGAGTGGCTGAATGTAAGGAGACCAGGTGTTTTTTTTCCACTCATCACCATCGCTGTTAATATGTAACTCCATGCGTGCCCATCTCACAGCTGATGTGAAAAACATGGGGAAACAAATTAACGCTGTGCTCGCTGTTCAACCGCTCGACATCGGTGTGAACCGGACCCAGCAGGTGCAGCAGAAGCAGCGAGTTTACATGCAAAGTCAATGGTTGACGCGCGTATAGGTGCAGCAAAAGGTCCCGCAGCGCGTTTTGAGCAGCAGGAGCCGCGCGTCGGGAGCGTTTAAGCATCTGACCCGCCGCCAACGCGCTGCTGCTGCTCGAGATGGAAAAATTGAAGTTTTGCTGCTGGATGCGCCGCATCAACCAATCAGAGAAGCTGATCTGGGAGCTGACAGCAAGACAGACACAGCACTCTGATGACATATGATATTAACGCAAATGAAAAAGGCTGGATGGATGAGGAGATGATGAAAGAGTGGCTGAATGTAAGGAGACCAGGTGTTTTTTTTCCACTCATCACCATCGCTGTTAATATGTAACTCCATGCGTGCCCATCTCACAGCTGATGTGAAAAACATGGGGAAACAAATTAACGCTGTGCTCGCTGTTCAACCGCTCGACATCGGTGTGAACCGGACCCAGCAGGTGCAGCAGAAGCAGCGAGTTTACATGCAAAGTCAATGGTTGACGCGCGTATAGGTGCAGCAAAAGGTCCCGCAGCGCGTTTTGAGCAGCAGGAGCCGCGCGTCGGGAGCGTTTAAGCATCTGACCCGCCGCCAACGCGCTGCTGCTGCTCGAGATGGAAAAATTGAAGTTTTGCTGCTGGATGCGCCGCATCAACCAATCAGAGAAGCTGATCTGGGAGCTGACAGCAAGACAGACACAGCGCTCTGATGACATATGATATTAACGCAAATGAAAAAGGCTGGATGGATGAGGAGATGATGAAAGCGTGGATGAGGCAGGTGTATGTGAGGAGACCAGGTGATTTTTTCCACGCATCTCCATCGCTGTTAATCTGTGACTCCATGCGTGCCCATCTCACAGCCGATGTGAAAAAAAAAGGTGAATCAAATGAACGCTGTGCTCGCCGTTATCCCGGGGGGTCTGACAAAGGAACTTCAACCGCTCGACATCGGTGTGAATCGGCCGTTCAAAGTAAGGCTGCGAGCGGCGTGGGAGCGATGGATGACCGACAGAGACCACAGTTTCAGGATAAGTGGAAGGCAGCGCCGGGCAAGTTACGCCACCGTTTGCGGATGGATTGTAGATGCTTAGACTAACGTGTCTGCTGGCTCTGTTGTTCCAGCTTTCGCAAAAGCCGGCATTATTTCTGGGGAGCTGCGCTGCACGGAAAGTGACTCTGACAGCGAAGAAGAAGGGGAAATTGGCATTTCTGATTTAGCGCAGCTGTTTAATTCAGAAACAGAGGATGATGACTTTGATGGGTTTGATTAATACTTTGTAATAAATACATGAATAAAGCACAATCATACTCAGTTTTGCTCCCGCTCTATTTTTCTACCTGAAAACTTAATTCAACAGCAGCCTCTGGGCGGGTCTCCTCCTCTTCACCGCGGCGGCTGGCAGGTGTTTTTTCATCTAAATAATCTAAATCTTGCAGCTATATTTGCTGTGATCAGTGGGAATAAAGTAGTTTTAATATGTTTTTAAGTGAGAAAGTCCACCTGAAAACTTCATAATTGCAGTCAGTTCATCCAGATTATCTATTTCTGTCGGAGGCGCTCAGACCCCCACATACCAGCGGTGCACCGACAGTAGAAATCCCTTCATCAGCAGCCTCTAGGCTGGGCAGCGGTGGCTGGCAGGTGTTTTTCATCTAAATAATTTAAACTGCAGGCACCAGGATACCGGTAATAAAAGCGAACATATTCCGTCGGCAGGTTTCAGGATTTTAAGTTAATTTAGGAGTAATCACAGCGCTGTGTCATCTGCGATGTGTCTGTCTCATGGCCAGCTGCCAGGTTTGATTAATAGTTTGTAATAAATACATGAATAAAGCACAGTCATACTCAGTTTTGCCCCCGCTGTATTTTTAAATACGCAGTAGAGGTATATAAAAAACGCGCCCTATAGTCCGGTGCGCCTTATATGTGTGTTAAATACAGAAATGGCACACATAACTGAGAGTGCGCCTTTTAGTACGGTGCGCCTTATGGTCATGAAAATACGGTATTTGGCATTTTATTCTTTCCAACTCAAATAAAAAAACAACATGAATATGTTGCCCTGAAGTTAGCATGAACAGTGTTGTTTTCGTCAACGATGACAAAATTATTATAGCGAAAACTGACAAGCTCATGGGTTTGAGTTTTTGTCAACATGACGAGATTAATTAAAAATTTGTCATATGTGTAAAATGCATCATTGTGCTGTAATCTGTTAGACGAGCTAAGCGGTATTAGCTGTGCAGCTGCATCTTGTTTGCTCACACAGAATATGCACAATAACACAGTCATGCGCAATAATAGTAATTGATTGATTGACTTTATTGATCTCACAGTGAAATTTACTCGTTACATCAGCTCAAACACTCTAAGGGGAAGAAGGTGCCAAAGGAACAAAAAGGCGTGTGGCTGCAGTATATACAGTGCATCCACATATGATAGCTTTTTTAAGTTTATTTTTCCATTTTTTTCATAGAGGATTATTATACAGGGTGTTTACATGGGTTTTTATGTAGATAGATATTGATATTTGAATATATAGTTATTGCACTTGGTGTCAAATATAAAGAAACAGTTATTGCACAGGGTATTAAATAGTAATTGCACATTATACATTGTACAAGTTATTGCCGTTATAGTGTTGCATTGTAGAGTCTGGATGCAGCAGGGAAGAATGACCTGCGGTAGTTCTCCTTTTTAAAAACAGGCTGTAAAAGTCTTTCACTAAAGGAGCTGCTCAGCTCCTCTACAGTCTGGGGCAGAGGCTGGAAGGTGTTGTCCATGATGGATGGAAGCTTGGACAGCACCCTCCTCTCAGCCACTTCCTCCACTGAATCCAGAGTGCAGCCTAGAACAGAGACAGCCTTTCTGTCTGTTTCTGTCCCACGCTGCCCGGGGTCCAGCAGACGACAGCGTAGAGGAGGGCTGATGTCACCACAGAATCATAGATGGTTTATAGCAGGGGCTTGCTCACTCCAAAGGACCTCAGCCTCCTCAGGATGGACTGGTACATGCAAACAGAGTTTTATGGGGCGCCAAGGAACTTGGAGCCCTAGGCAACTGCCTAGAATTGCCTGATGGTAAATCCCTCCCTCACTGTTATCTGAGTAGCAGCAGTGTGCTCACCGCTACACGTTAAGAGGTTATAAGCTGCTACGGTTAACTCGTACCAACAGCTAAAGACAACAGTTCAGTTAAACTTAACTTTTTTCTTTATTATAGAGTAGAGCCCCATGTCGTCTGTGATGAACATAGTTAAGGCCAAATGTCTTCATTTTTCCTCCTATTTTCTCAGAAACTCTTACACCTGCAGAATTTCAACACTCTGATGGCGGTGGTGGGAGGTCTGAGCCACAGCTCCATTTCTCGTCTAAAGGAAACCCATGCATACCTGGCTCCAGAAGTTCTGAAGGTACTGACAATGAGCTTTGCATCTCCTGACTTACACCAAGATGATTCCATACTCTGTGCCGCTGTACCAATGCACTGCAAATAATTGAAATCTAAATGAGCCACTTTTTCTTAAAATATGTGCATTTTGTTTTGAACTGAGGAGGTAAGTGAAAAACTTTGCCAATTGAACAGGATAATGAATGTTTATAATTAGAAAAAAAAAACATTGAATTGCCTTATTTCAAGTGCATATTATCTAATGATCTTATTTTAAGAGTAAAAATACTAATTGTAAATGCAGATCATCTTATTTACCTACTAAAAATTAAGGGTAAAAACCCTTAATTTAAGAAATGTTTACTAATTAGCGATTGCTTTTTGATATTACATTTTATTTTATAATAATATTTTAGATATATGTATAATTTATTGCCACGGAAACCACGGCTTAATGGCAATGTCCTATTTTTGTCCCAGATGTGGAACGAGATGACGGAGCTGGTGTCTTCCAATAACAACTACTCCAACTACAGAAAGGCCTTCAGTGAATGCAGAGGTTTTAAAATCCCCATACTGGGCGTACACCTGAAGGATCTGATCGCAGTGCATGTCGTCTTTCCTGACTGGGTCGGTGACGGCAGTCTGGTGAACGTGGTGAAGATGCATCAGCTTTACATGACATTGAATGAGCTGGTGTCACTGCAGGGTCTGGTATCCCATGTGGAGCCCAACATGGACCTCATATATTTGCTGACAGTAAGGCCAAAATTCTGTTTCTGGTCTTGGGGGGATGTTTTATAACGCTACATAAAGGATGTGGGCTTTTCACAGTAAGACTAGTAACTTAACCTCTCAAAACCCACCCAATCGCAGGCGACCACTTTATAGTGTTTACAACTAATAACTCAGAATGCATGGAAATTGCACCGGTAAAATTTTTGCCAATATAGACATGTTAACATCGTTGGAAAGCTTAAATTCTCCACAATTCAATCACTTAAGTTAATTTTATGGACACAGAGAGCACCAAAGCACAATTAATACAGCTATAGTAGCATGTCAAAATGCAAACATTACTAAGCAGCCACAATTACATACCTTTGAACGCGTCCAGAAGCCGTTCTATAAATCCAGTCTTCATTGTTTATACTCCATTCTTCCATAAGGGTCTACAGATTAAACCGAATCCAGAATATTTATATAAAAAATATTCCATGAGGAAAAAATCGCCATATACTTATTTCCTCATTTGTTTGCCCATGATGTTTGACGTGGTTCTTTACATCGTCCTCCTACAAGACAATAGTGTCTGCATTTTTGTACAGTAGAGTCAGGGACAGTCGCTGAAGTCTCATAAGCGTTCCTTGCCTGTTAGCCAATGACACACAGAGCAGAGCGATATAATGCCTCATAGAGTCCTACTGTTATCGGTTTAGACTAGTTTTGCACCGATACCGATACCAGTATCGGACGGGGCCCTGATACTGCCCTAAAATGGTGGTATCGGTATCGGCGAGTACCAACAAATAGGGCACAGATACCATTTTGAGAGCCATAAGTTTATTCAGCTATTGTCATCCACTCCTGGTAGGCAATACAAAGTTCTACTGGTTTAACTTTGTATTAGATTTTTTCCTGCTTCACAAAGGTAGGCAGCAGCTTGACAAAGCCATGATGGCAATTATTTTACATTATTATGGTATCCGTATCGGCCAATACTGCACAGCCAGGTATCGGGTATCGGTATCGGGGCCAAAAAATGGCATCGGCGCAACACTAGTTTAGACCACTTGGGCTGTTTGGCTTTGTAGTCAAGAAATAAGGTTTCAAACCAGGGTAGACATGGTTGGGTTGCATAAAGCAGAGCTGTGTTACCGGCTGTGAAAAACACAGCTAAGTTTGGATCAGCGCGTGCAGTTCGAAGCAATTTACTAACAACGCTCTGATGTTTTTGAAGTTTGGATGCTGATTTTGTTCCATTACAATGCCTAAGATTGAAAAATAAAATAAAATCCAGCTCTGAAAAGGCCCTGGGGCTTATTTTAGCTTGAAAAGCAGCAGTTTCACTATTTTTTTTTTTATAAATTTGTATGTTATTTTAGGTTTATAAATGTTACATTTTCTTATATACATTTATTCTGAAAAAAAGTGGGAAAATACTTGATTCACAAATGTTTTGTTACCATAAAAACACTTCAGTGTTATTCTATGAGTCAAATAGTTGAGTAAAATCATTTGGCACAATTTGGAGATTTTTGGAGACGCTGGTGACACCAAATGTTCAAAGCCCCACAGCTCTGGAACTGTTTTAGCTAGAGGTCTGACATTTTCTGCATTTGTGGTTGACATGATGTAGAACAAATGTAATGCAATGAGACCTGCCTATTCTCAAAAATGTCTTTATTACTGTTGTTCAAACATGACCTGTTATTTTCGAGAATAATAAAACAACTTTCAGTCATGTTTGAACTGATGCAGCTTATCTGCGTTTAATTCACACTATTTTCATTTAGCTTCAGTTAGCTTTTAAATGATGTATCACACATGTAATTTGGCCTTACAGTTCCTCAGTTATTGGCTTTTCCATTTGGGTTTGCAAAATAAGCGAAGGTGGGTGTAAATAAAATACAATCCCAGCATTTTGCTGTTGGTCTCAGTTTGCAGATGTATCAAACATTGTTCCTGTCAGTCTGATATGTGACTTAACTTCTCTCTTAAAGTTTCACCTTCATTAGGATTTTTTCTCTTAACCAAACACTCATATTTTTCAGCTTTCTCTTGACCTTTATTACACAGAAGATGAGATTTATGAACTATCCTTGTTGAGAGAACCACGCAGCCTCAAATCTCAGGTAAATTTTGTTTAATATTATTTCACACAACATAATATAATTAAGCCCCGTTGCAGTGATGGCATCAGGGTCAATTATTGTTGCATGGCAGCAATGAGGAGTTAGTGAAGGATTAGTTTTTTCTTAGTCCCTAGTTCCAACTTTGAATCTTATTGAAAATTGCTCAGGATTAGGACATGGTTTCAAACTCAGTCCCTGAGGTCCTCCGTGGCTAACCCAACACAAGTCTGACAAAAAATCCTCAGCATGAAGTCAATAAAGCTACGTTCAAACAGCAGCCTGAAGTGACTCAAATCTAATTATTTTGCCCATATGTGACCTGGATGTGATCAGTCTGAACAAGACAGATCTGATTTGTTCCAATGTGATCCAGACCACTTGGCTCTGTGGTGCTGAATCAGATATGAATCCAATTTTTTCTAATGTGTCTGAACAGCCTGGTCGCAGGAGGACGGTGTTGTGGAGAACAGTTTTTATTTTCAACCTTCTTGAAAAGATTGTTTTTAATGCTCTGGCTGAGGTTTGGAAAGAAATGAAAGATAGATGTGACAGATCAGCACTACCGTCCAAGTTTACTTCCATAAACACCGAGCACGCTTGCTTGTGACGTCATTGCGTTCTCTGCATTGCCTGTGGGACACTTAAGTTGTGTGAATGCAGTTCACAGAGAAGATCACATACAGGATGCATATATCAGAAAGTGTGAACGACAACGCAAAAAATCAGAATTGAGCATGAAGGCCTTATTGCTCAATTCCGATTTTTTTGTGAAATCCAATTTTTTTTGCGTAGTCGTTCATATTTCAAAATATATGACTTGTATGTGATCTCCTGTGTGAACTGCATTCATAGAGGGGCTCAAAGGGCTGATTATCCTCCTGCAGCAGTGTGTTACAGTGAGGTTGTCGCAGGTATGACGCAGACATTTTTGATTTATGCCCAGTATTGAAGCATGGTCTGCGCTATGTGGTTACACGCCACAACGCAAGAGGGACAATCAGGAGCTAGTTCCTGTCTGCGGTCAGACTGTGGGGGGGGGACAACCTAGATTTGAGGTATAAATCAGCCTTAAGTGTCCCGCATGAGCAGTAAAGGAAACAATGACATCACAAGCCAGCATGCTCTGTGTTTACGGATGTAAACATGGTTGGTAGTTTTTCAATATACAGGTGCTGGTCATAAAATTAGAATATCATGAAAAAGTAGATTGATTTCAGTAATTCCATTTAAAAAGTGAAACTTGTATATTATATTCATACATTACATACAAACTCATATATTTCAGATGTTTATTTTGTTTAATTTTGATGATTACAAATGACAACAAATGAAAATCTCAAATTCATCATATCAGAAAATTAGAATATTACTGAAGACCAATAAAAACAAAGGATTTATAGAAATGTTGGCCAACTGAAAAGTATGAACATGAAAAGTATGAGCATGTACAGCACTCAGTATTTAGTTGGGCCTCCTTTGGCCTGTATTACTGCAGCAATGCGGCATGGCATGGAGTCGATCAGTCTGTGGCACTGCTCAGGTGTTATGATAGCCCAGGTTGCTCTAATAGTGGCTTTTAGCTCTTCTGAATTGTTGGGTCTGGTGTATTGCATCTTCTTCTTCACAATACCCCATAGATTTTCTATGGGGTTAAGGTCAGGAGAGTTTGCTGGCCAATTAAGAACAGGGATACCATGGTCCTTCAACCAGGTACTGGTAGCTTTGGCACTGTGTGCAGGTGCCAAGTCCTGTTGGAAAATGAAATCTGCATCTCCAAAAAGTTGGTCAGCTGCAGGAAGCATGAAGTGCTCTAAAACTTCCTGGTATGTGGCTGCGTTGACCCTGGACCTCAGAAAACACAATGGACCAACACCAGCAGATGACATGGCACCCCAAACCATCACTGACTGTGGAAACTTTACACTGGACTTCAAGCAACGTGGATGAAGTGCCTCTCTTCTTTTCCTCCAGACTCTGGGACCTTGATTTCCAAAGGAAATGCAAAATTTACTTTCATCAGAGAACATGACTTTGGACCACTCACCAGCAGTCCAGTCCTGTTTCTCTTTAGCCCAGGCAAGACGCTTCTGACGCTGTCTGTGGTTCAAGAGTGGCTTGACACAAGGAATGCGACAGCAGAAACCCATGTCTTTCATACGTCTGTGTGTGGTGGTTCTTGAAGCACTCACTCCAGCTGCAGTCCACTCTTTGTGAATCTCCCCCACATTTTTGAATGGGTTTTGTTTCACAATCCTCTCTAGGGTGCGGTTATCTCTCTTGCTTGTACACTTTTTTCGACCACATCTTTTCCTTCCCTTCGCCTCTCTATTAATGTGCTTGGACACTGAGCTCTGTGAACAGCCAGCCTCTTTAGCGATGACCTTTTGTGTCTTGCCCTCCTTGTGCAAGGTGTCGATGGTCGTCTTTTGGACAACTGTCAAGTCAGCAGTCTTCCCCATGATTGTGTAGCCTATGGAACTAGACTGAAAGACCATTCAAAGGCTTTTGCAGGTGGTTTGAGTTAATTAGCTGATTAGAGTGTGGCACCAGGGGCCATCAATTTTGAACCTTTTCACAATATTCTAATTTTCTGATATGATGAATTTGAGATTTTCATTTGTTGTCATTTGTAATCATCAAAATTAAACAAAATAAACATCTGAAATATATGAGTTTGTATGTAATGTATGAATATAATATACAAGTTTCACTTTTTAAATGGAATTACTGAAATCAATCTACTTTTTCATGATATTCTAATTTTATGACCAGCACCTGTAAATACTACCCTTATCATCCACCATGGTTCACTATTCTACATTGCAAGGCACAGAATAGTGACCTTTGTCAGCTACTAATGGCGTTCAGGTCGACTGAATGCGACATGGCCGTTCAGACACAGGTCACATTTGAAAAGATCAGATTCATATCAGATTCAGGACCACAGAGCCAAGTGGCCTGGGTTGCATTGGAAAAAATCGGATTTGAGTTGCTCAGACAGCCATGAAAATATCAGATCCAGGTCGCATATGGGCAAAAAAAAAAAAAAAAAAAAAACGGATTCAGGTCACTTCAGGCTGCTGAACGTAGCCTAAAAGACTGCTACAGTGCTTCTTATGTCCCCAACATCTAAATTAGGATGTTTGCAGCCCTGGTTCACAAGGCCGACTGTCTGTCATGTTTACAACCTAAGGACTGTTGATCATCTTTTCATTCAGGTCAGGTGTGTGGAGGCAGGAAAACACCTAAAACACACAGGGATCAGTGAAACCCTGATCTAAATAATGATGATGATGATGATGATGATGATGACACTCTTGTCTTTGGGTGATGGCAAAGAGGCATTTCAGTATCTGAAGAAAAAGTGTCAAAATACAATTTTTTTTTAATCTCGATATGCTTTTTTTGTGGTATCTAAAAGACATTGGCATGAAAAGATGTTTAAAAATTATATTTTTATATATATTTTATGTGTCATTTTTTATAAGATGTCAGAGTTATGAATAATTTTTCTATCTCACCTATTTAACCGACACAAATGGTGGTAATTCCATTCCATTCCTATAATAAACCAACATTATGTGATATCTAGAGTTTATTACACTAAATCCTGCTGATTTCACTGATTTAGTGTAATAAACTCTCTAAATATTATACATATATGCATATATTTTTTTTTGTTTATTTTTTCATATATATATATATATATATATATATATATATATATATATATATATATATATATATATATATATATATATATATATATATATATATATATATAAATGTATGTGTATGTGACTTAATAGGAATGTCTCTTCTGCTTAGCCCACATCTCCAACTACACCCAACAAGCCTTTGGCTCCACTAGACTGGGCCTCGGGGGTCACCACCAAACCGGATCCCTCTGTTGTCAATAAACACATTCGCAAATTGGTGGAAGTGAGTTAAAGCCTCCATATTTTCATGTTTTCATTTAAAAGTATACAACATAGGTCTCTGTATGATACAATTTACCTGCTTTCCTTTGGACAGTCTGTCTTCAGGAATTATGACCATGACCATGATGGGTATATTTCACAAGAAGACTTTGAGAGCATCGCAGCTAACTTTCCATTCCTGGAGTCTTTCTGCGTTTTGGATAAGGATCAGTGAGTAAAAAAATTTGTTTCAGTTTTAGTGACTCCAAAGCATTAAAATTTTAGCGTGAGTTGGAGGACTGTGAGAACATTAATTTAACCCACTGACAATGATTATTTATAAAATCACACTGAAAATGATCATGATAGCAGTTTATGCAACACTTGATGTTTACCTTTCAATTTATTATTCAGTTTGCATTAAGGTTATGTAAATATGAAGGATATTTTAATTTACTCTTTTCTTTTTTTAAATTATTTTTTTTATGTTTGACTTGTTAACTGAAATAAAACATTCAGTGTTATTTTAGGATCTATTTGCTGTTATTGGAATCTCTGATATGTATTTAGGAATGGTTGCTCTCTGTGGAAGCAAATGTGTCTCAATTTCCTGATTAAGGTTTCTTGAGTAATGTAAAATACATTTTCCAAATTGCAATTTCATTTCTTGTACAAGGTTGCTCACTTTGTAAATTAATGTTGGTTATTTATTCTCCTGGTGCACAGTATTCATATCGTTAAAACACTTTATAGTATTGTATTTGTCTTTTTTTTAACTCTTCATTATTTTGTTATTCTTATACATTTTTCTAAGGTCCACCTTTGTGTGACCATTTTTTGGATAATCTTTATGCTGTTGTAAACACCAGAATTTCCACATTGTGGGACAATAAAGACATTTTCTATTCTATCCTAAATTTGCCTTCAGGTTATCTCCATTGGTGGCTTTGGTGTCTCCAAGCTTACATTGGACAATACTCCATGGATTCTTTATTAAAGCTTTCATTAATATTCTCAAAACAATAGCAGCACAAACAAAAATATTTGCCAGACAGACCAGCAGAAAGCATGACACCATTCTTGTTTCATTTGGGAAGGATGGTTGACCTGTGACCTTTGAAGTTCTAAAATAAATGAACAAATGAAAATATTTGCTGCACAAAGCAGCACAAACGTAACCGTACCGACTGACACCAATTTTGGTGGTGGAGCCTGTTGAACTTTGGTGACCTCTGGACATTTTCATTACTATGTTTTAGATGATAGCGGTACAAACAAAAATCTTTGCAGTACAATCAAGCGCTGACATAGCAAAAATGTTAGACAACATCAACACAGTGAACCAGCTTTTAGTAACACAGGGAATGTTTGCACCAACTTCTGCTGGACAATAAGATCTCTGTCTCCATAAAGTTTGTTGGCAGAAAGCAGCATGAAATGTTCTCCAATTCTCTGGTTGATGGCTGCTTTGAATGTAGATCTCAGATGACTTGGAGCCTGATTTCCAAATTAAATTTTAGTCATACCTTTCGTATTCCACTTTGCCTATACCTGAAAATCCTGTTCAGAAAGATTATGAGCAGGTGCATGTCTCCAGGTGAATACTATCTATCGGTACCCAATGCACATGCAACCATGCACAAACAAACTCACACCATAGGAGATTTTAGAGAAGCGTAACAATTGTGGCACTGGGGCTGGCCTAACTGTCCATGCTGCACTCCAGCTAACCTCCACCTCACCTGCAATCAACTTCAACGGGTTTCACCTGTTTCCACCTGCTTATAAGCCCCGTTCTGATCAGCTACCGGTGCCAGATTGTCTCAAACCTATTCCTTTCTCCACCTACAGTTTATTAATCTCAGTGCTCCCCACCACTAGCTAGAACTGAAGAAGCCTCCTGGATGAGAGAAGAAACGTCTTCTAGAAAACATCACATCCAGTTACCTAGACTGAACTTTTCCAAGCTTGACCATGACCTGGATGTCTGTGAAGTTGTGGAGAAACTGAGATTCCAGGCAATTCTTGCAAGGAAGGCTTAAATGTATTGTTGGGTCTGCAGACAGAGAGAAAAAGCTCTGACTGGGGCAAGCTTAGTACATTTATACAGCAACTCCCAACACACACACATTCCCAGGTTAAACCAACCCACCCCTGAATATAAAGAACTTTCTTTCACATGAACATTTGGAGAAAAAAACTTCAGTTCATCAAGGAGATACATTCTTCTCTGGCTGGATAAACATTTTACAATAGTTTTTTTTTTTCTGTTCACGGCATGAGGGAGTCTTAAGCACCTTAAAGGGAATGTTAGCTATAATACACCCTTGTCTAGAGTGAGGAGGCAACTGCTCTCTATCACCCCTACCCGTTGTGACTTGTTTTCTCTTCTCTGTCTTCCTCAGGGATGGGTTAATCAGCAAGGATGAGATGATAGCTTATTTCCTTCGGGCCAACCCACTGCTTCAGTGTAAGATGGGACCAGGATTTATCCACAACTTCCAAGAGATGACCTATCTCAAACCGACCTTCTGTGAACACTGTGCTGGCTTTGTGGGTATTTCTACAATTACCTCATTAGATGTCTTAAAAAATGTTTAAAGTGGATTGATACCAAACATGCTGTGTGTATTAAAAGTCTATTTTTCCTTTTGGAATGACTATTTGCAAGAAACATAGCAGATGGTTTAGGAGTTTATAAAAAAGTGATTTAAAAAAAGGCTCAAGGTACAGAACAAGGGTTTAGATAGAAAGTAGTAATAAATTTGGGTAGGTCTATGCTTGATTTTTATTTGATCATATTATTGGAGTTTCTGAGGACAGAAGTGGACCCTAGAATGGAGAAATGGCTAAAGAATATAGTATATTACTTGTTACTGGAATGACGGTAAATCTGGGATCAGTTCCTTTTCAGTTGCTCTTCTGTGAGTCGCAGGTCATGTAAACTGATGGGACAGGGCAACAGAAGCACGTGAGAAGCTGCTTGAAGTCACAGGGAGGTTCTTATGCACATATGAAACATCAATTGTAGCAACCTCTCTCTCTGGGATTGCTCTATAGAACACAAGCCTGTCTGAAGACACTAAGATGAACATTGGAGGTACAGTAAATGGTAGAGGGCTAACAGGGCCCAAATTCTCACCAGAGTACAAGATTATTATCATTTGAAAACAGTACAGGGCTGCACCATCATGTCAGACAAACAATTCATGAGGCTTGAGGAGTGTTGCCCATGAAACCCTGCTGCCCATAAAGGGGATTTGCTGCAGTAGTGCCAGCTTCACCAGAAAGGCTCAGTGGAAGAATGGAATGAGGAAGAGGGAAAACAGAGCGAGAAAAACACCTAATCCTGCACCTCTTTTTTCAACTTCTTGCTGTCTGCCGTTAAGATACAGTCTATCTGAGAGATTCCAAAGAGCTGTTAGCTGAAAGCGATGGATGGATGGATGGATGGATGGATGGATGGATGGATGGATGGATGGATGATGGATGGATGAATGGATGGATGGATGGATGGATGGATGGATGGATGGATGGATGGATGATGGATGGATGGATGGATGGATGGATGGATGGATGGATAGATGGATGGATGATGGATGGATGGATGGATGGATGGATGGATGGAAGGATGGATGGATGGATAGATGGATGGATGATGGATGGATGGATGGATGGATGGATGGATGGATGGTTGGATGGATGGATGGATGGATGGATGGATGGATGGATGCTAGATGGATGGATGGAGAGATGGTCCAACAGACAGATGGATGGATGGATGATGGATGGCTGGTGGATAGACAGACGTATGAACAGATGGGTGGATGATGGATGGATGGATGGTTGGATGCTGAATGGATGGAAAGTTTGATGAATGGTTGATGGTTTGATTGATGATGGATAGACAGACAGATGGACAGATGGATGGACGATGGATGCATGATGGATGGACGGAGAGATGGACAAATAGACAGATATATGGATGCTGAATGGATGGATAGTTTGATGAATGATGGATGGATCATGGTTGGATGGATGATGGTTTGATTGATGATGGATAGACACACAGATGGATCGATGATGGATGGATGCTGGATAGATGGACGGATGGACTGACGGACAGATATTTGGATGGATGGATGATGGATGGATGCTAGATGGATGGACGGAGAGATAGACAGACAGAAAGATGGATGGATGGATGGATGGATGGATGGATGGATGGATGATGGACGGTTTGATGAATGAATGATGGATGGATGGATGATGGATGGATGCTAGATGGATGGATGTAGAGATAGACAGAAAGATGGATGGATGGATGGATAGATGGATGGATGGATGGATGGATGGATGGATGGATGGATGGATGGATGATGGACGGTTTGATGAATGAATGATGGATGGATGCTAGATGAATGGACAGAGAGATGGATGGATGATGGATGGATGGATGGATGGATGGATGGATGGATGGATGATGGACGGTTTGATGAATGAATGATGGATGGATGATGGATGGATGGAGAGATAGACAGACAGAAAGATGGATGGATGGATGGTTTGATGAATGAATGATGGATGGATGCTAGATGAATGGACAGAGAGATGGATGGATGATGGATAGAGAGATGAATACATAATAATTGTCCCAAAACTGTATATTGGTTAGTTTTTCAGATGGTGTTACAGAATTACATTTTTTTTTATCAGCATTTGCTCCCAGAATTTCTCTAAAAATGTTCTCTTCTCATGGCGGTGCTTTGTGTTCTCATGCCAACTGTGAGAAATTGGGTGTTATTTGGTGTCCCCTATTGGCTGTTTTGGCCACCATAGATTGCTGCACTTGAGTCGGTTTCTGGGCGTATTCTCTAACCTTCTCCTTTACTTTTGCTTCCGCCTGCAGCTATGGGGAATCATCAAACAAGGCTACAAGTGCAAAGGTACGTCAACCGCTTCATTCTCCAGGGGAAATTAGATAGAGGAGAAACAGAGGAAGTGAAATCAGCTGCTTTTCTTTTTACTCTTAACTACATGGTCACTGATTAACACTAGCATTGGTTTGCATTGGTGCTGCTTGAATACTTTAAGCAAGTCAGGGGATAATGAATGTGTTTGCTTTGCAGACTGCGGCGTTAACTGTCATAAGCAATGTCGGGAACTGTTGGTTCTGGCCTGCAGGAAGCAGACCCGCACGTGCTCACTAAGCAGTGATGCTCCAGCCAGGCTGACCCACAGCTCTTTGCCCAACAGCCCAACACTGCCCACATGTAAAGGTTGCTTTCACACACTGTTACTTATAACTTGTATTCTGGTGTTATGAATGTTTGCCTAAATCTGTTTTCAAATTATATTTTTTTTTTACTCTGTAGAATTGAAATATCCTCTTCTATAGATTCTTTACTATAGATACAAACAAAACTAATCCAGATATATAGTTGAAATATCATCTAAAAGTTAGAAGTTTTAATCTGCCTCTGAGCTGGACAACACATTTTAAAACATGGCTAACAGAAGAAAGTGTTGCTCTCTCCAACTGTTGGATTACATTTGCTGTGTTTTCATCTAATGCTACGTACGGACCGCAAGCAGCAGAGGCAGCAGAAGCACTAGTTTACATGCAAAGTCAATGGCTGACATGCATCAAGGCGCAGCAAAAAATCCCGCAGCGCATTTTGAGCAGCTGAAGCAGCGCCTCATGAGCGTCTGAGCATCTGGTGAGCTTCAGAAGCAGCAGCTGCTGGAGTTGGAAAAATTTTTGCTGCTGGACAGGACACATCAACCGATCAGAGAAGCTGATCTGGGAGCTGGCAGGGAGACAGATACTAGGGGTGTAAATAATAATCATTTTGTATCGATGCATCGATCCAACAGTCGACAATCCGATGCATCGATACGTGCGCAAGAGTATCGATTAATGTTTTTCTTTTCCTCCAGTCTATTTTCATCCTATTTGCTCACAAACATAATCCTCCCTCCCGTGCTGCGTTGCGCTATACTCTGTGGGTCTACATACGGCCGAGGCGGTGAGGAAGTGGGGGCGAGTTTAGTCCGACGACGGAGGGACATGAGGGCCAAAAAGAGCGGAGATCCAGCTGGAAAAAGGGGACCAGCGTTCTTGCGCACCTCGCTCTTCTAGCGGGTCAAACTTCATACGTTTTTTCCCGCCATTTCAGTAATAAAAACAAAACAAGCCGGCTTCCTGTCTGCGGCACTGAATTGCACTCATTGCACTGATTATCGAAAATAATCGAATCGTTGGGTCAGGAAAGCGATACTGAATCGAATCGCCATGATGGATGTGATTTACATCCTTAACAGACACAGTGCTGCTAATGCAGAGCGCTATTATCAATCCTCTGAAACAGTTTATTAATGACTTAATTAACTTAAAAGACCAAAATCTGCCACCAAAATATGTTCACTTTTATTATCCCAGTGCCTGCAGTTTGCAGTACAGACCTGAAAAACTTCAACATCTACTTCCAGTCACCACCAACAGTAGGGGAAAATCCCCAATAGGAGACCGGGCCTGAGGCAGCTGCTGCTGGGGATTCCCAGTGACAGTGCACCACGTATGTGGAGGTCTGAGCGGCTCAGACAGATAAATATTTGATGGCAGAATGGTAATTTGGATAAACTGACCATACAGACAATGATTTCAGGAGGACTTTCTCACTTAAAAATATATTCAAACTACTTTTTTACTCACTGATCACAGCAAATCTACTGTAGCTGCCATTGTTACAGGCAAAGAAAGGACATGGTAGCTCCGCCCAAAGCACATCAGACCCACTTTTCCCACCGCGCACCGAGAGCAGCGAAGATGCTTCAGCCACGCGTCAGAGCTAAACCTGTACAAGCATCAAAAATGAAGCACCATGCACATTTTTGATGCTCCTGCTGCAGTCTGAATGTGGCTTAAATTATCCTTATTAATGATCCTTATTTGAGCAAATTGTAAAATGTCTAAAGTAGGAAAGTGTAAATGAGTAATTTTTCCATCCACTGGAGCAAATCAAGCAGGAAAAGCAAAGTGAATGCTGTCCCATATCAACGTTACATTGTAGTTAACAGAAAGTAGAAGCAGAAAGCTAGCTTGGACCACAGATGGAGGAAGCTTTTAATGAATGTGTTGAAATTGAGAAAGATGTCTACCTTATTATTTTCTGCTAGTATTAGCAATGGTACACGCTATCCAGAGAGATTGAGAAGAAGCAAATGTGCAATATTTTAATTCACCTGCATTCACGTGAGGTAAAAGTTCACCATGTCAGAAATTATTTGACAAAGACGTTTCCATCTCTTTATTACATTTGCAATTTTCACTCTATGCAAAATGTCAAAATATCGAAATATTCCTGTTTCCATCAAGCTTAGAGCTGAGTCACTGTTAGTGTCCACCCTATGCTCATCTAGGAAGGTGAATCCTGTATAGTCAATGACTTTTGGTAAAATACTTTGAGATGATATGTGTTGTGAATTGATGCTATATAAATAAACTGAATTGAACTTTGTTGATCTGAAGTGGCAGTAAAGTCTGACAGCATGTAAGGGCAACATTCCCTGTCAATAAGAAGTAGATTATGTTGGTTTTATTCTATTCATCTTATTTTTTATTCATTTGGTAACCTAATAAGTTACTGTTTGGTTTTATTCTAGTAACATGTCCAATTTTGACCATCTCTGAGATTAACAATGTCTTTTGTTTGGTTAGTATACAGCATGCACAACAAATGGTTTGAGTATAATAACCTCCATATCTTTATTTTGATTCAGCATGCATTTTCCAAGAACTGAAACATTTTTCTGTCATGTTTCCCTCCTGCAGGTGAGGACGATGTGTTTGAGTTCCCCGCTGTCCCCTTTGCAGGTCAGCCTGCCGAGCCTCAGTCCATCACCCTAATGACAGGCTCAGCACAAAGAATATCTGTGTGCCTGCAGAGGGCCACCACCAACCAAGCCACACAGACTGAGCCGCTATGGCCTGAGCTTAGCTGGGGGTGTGCAGACAGTGGCTCACACACCTTCCCTAAGATGAAATACAGAACTCATAGAAAAGCATCTAAAAATGTAGGATTTGCCAGCTGGGAAAACCACAATGACAGACAGCAGCCTGGAGCTTCCCCACAGAGCAATGGAGACTATCATCAGAGGCCAGACATCTGTGGAAGACGGAACGGAGAAACCAATACTGTGAAGGTAATAGAACCAAAGGAGATTTTTAATTTTTTTTTATATTTTGCCAATATGGATCTGGGAACAGATGTTCCAGAGCTAGATTATAGCCTAACAGCTTTTGCTTTCACAGGATTATTATGACTGTTGCCATAAGGTAACACTTGACACTGGTAAATAAAACTATTTAAAATTATTTAGGGAGTAAAATCATGTACAAAGGACACAGAGACAGAAAGGAAGGTGAGAAAAAAAGGGAATAAAAACCACTGGGAGAGATAAAGCGATAGAGACGGAAAAGAATGTAAGAAATTAACTTCAAAAACGTTTAAAAAACAGTCCTTTGGACTTTGTTTCCAAGTTTGAAGATGTTTCGCTTTCCATCCAGGAAACTTTTAATTCAAAATGTCAGAAATAGAGTTGAGTTCGAGGCTTTATACCACAGCCCAACAAGGCCTTGTTTTTGTATAGAAAACATGCAACATGAAACGGACGAACAGGTCCACCGTTTTGGAATTGGGGTCATTTGGCCTCTTTGTTAGCCTGCAATGCCCCATACCCAGTGGTGGCTCCAGAAATCTTTCATAGGGGTGTCCAGACGGGGCCACTAAATATCTTGGGGTGGCACACTGAAACTAAAAACCGTAATTTCAGGCTTTGATTCTACTATTATGGTAAACCTGCCTGTAGAAATCATAAAGACTTAAGTAAAAACTCACTCATGTTTTGGTTTATTGTGGGATTTCTTTAATGTTACGACGCTGGCTGTGCATAATGGGATGAAATGCTAAACTGATGCTACTACCATTTACACTGGCGAGTGGGGTGTCCAGTGGGGCATTACCTCTTCTCTTCTCCCCAGCAGTAAGCTCTGATGTAGTGATGTCTTGGGAAATGATTGACATAAGGAGGAAGCTAATGTGAAGTCTGTTAAAATGATGGATGGGACTTATGGATAGGATTCATCCTTGGCTGTAGGTTATCGTGCATATGGTGAAAGAGCTAATTAATCGGTGCACACCATGGGATATTATGCAGTTGCTGTTTTCCCTTTCTAAATAAGTAATGGAAGAAAATTTGTAACCTTCAAATTAAGAGAAATAGGTTTTGTTGGTCCAATAAATGGTAAAATACATTTAATAGGTTTAACCAAAATTGGAAACATATTTGGTACCATGTGCCATAAAGCATACATAAGTATAAACAAAAATAGAATGTTTTAGGCACAGAATATATAAATATTTACTACTGGTTGTAATGCCAACATCCAAACGTAAGGATTCTGCACCAATAGGATTGGTAACTTGAAGTAACTGAGATGGAACTCAGACGTTGCAAGATCCTCCTAGCTCCATGACGGTGCTGAAAATAGCAAACAGATTAGCAAACAAAAAAGGAGTAAAACAAAGGTAAACGTCGGTAGGTGCTAAAGCTATCTAAATTCAGTTCCATTCAAACATTCTTTATCCAGGTTTTGTTGATGCCTCCATCTGAGTCTTCTGGTGTTTCTCACAAAATCAGTCAGGCTGAATGGTGTTAAATGTTCTGGAGAAATCAAAGATCATGATCCTCACAGAGCTGTCTGGCTTGTCTAAACGACAGTGGGTTTGTTGAAGCAGGTGTGTGATGGCATCATCAACTTCATCTCAATGGCCATAAGCAAACTGCAGGGGGTCCTGCTGGTTTGTTTGCTGAGGAGAACCAACAGAAGTCTCTCTATGACCTCTTTATGCCCAATATTGAAACATGGTCAGCGCTATGTTATTCCGGAGCTTGTTCGCCGTCTACAAAGCCTTATCCAATGCTGGTCGACACAGTTCACCTGTGAGTGTTCCTGAAAGACTGGCCGTGGTGCTGCGTGTTTTGGCTTTCGGGTGCAAACCAACAGACCGTCGCACAGAGATACAAAATAGCGTTCTGCAAGGTGTCTGGGATGGAGTCCGAGGTGTGCCAGGCATTGTGGACGGCACCACAGCGTTTCTGCCATTACGTACCAAACAAAAAATACGTCGTGTAGAGCAGTGTTTTTCAACCCTGGTCCTCAAGGCACACTACCCTGCAGGTTTTAGATGTTTCCCAGCTTTCACACACCTATTATCAATTGATAGCAGATTATCTGGCTTTGCTGAACTGCATCATCTAAACCAGGTGTGTTGAAGCTCAGAAACATCCAAAACATGCAGAGCAGTGTGCCTTGAGGACCAGGGTTGAAAAACACTGGTGTAGAGGACGCATGTAGAATTGACCAATCAGAGGCCTCCTTTTTCTCCTCCCTGCAACACTACCTGCGGCACTGTCTGCAGTTTCCCTACAATTTTGGGGAGGGCACCACAGTGTCTTTAGAATGGGGGTGGGGGTTTGGGAGGGGGGAGCATTTTAGTGTTAACTGCAACACTCACACAGACAACCTGGTTTCTGAGTATAAACCAGGCTTAAGGGGGCAGAGACTTAGAATCCCACAGAGCTGCTCTGAACAGACCTTCAGGACTCTGGCGCTGACACCATCAGGATCTGGAGCCTTATAATGATTTGGTGTTTCCAGATACCTCAAGTCAATGGCAGAGGAGAGAAATATGCTGAGCTTGTTCCTGAACTGAACCTGTTGAAGAATTGATTCAGTTCATTGGTTCTGTCCAGACTTCCATCTATCTGATCCTCCTTCTGCCTGAAGGCTGTGATCTTCTTCCTCCCTGACCACACATCTCTGATATTATTCTGTTGCAGCTTCTTTTCCAGCCTCTTCCTGTTGCCTCCTTGCTTTCTCTTATCTTGACCTTAAGTTACTTCTGTGTACTCCTTAATTCCTCATTTCCCTTCTTAAAGGCTTATTTCTTTCTTGTATAGGAGTCATTAAAATTTACACAAGACAGGTCCAAAGTTTTCTCTGGTTCAGCAGATATCAAACTTTTGGAACATTGGTGCAGCAGAGAGTGAGGACTGATTAAAATCACCAGTTATTGCCACAAATGCATATGGCATTGTGTCAGTAGCTTGGCAACAGAACTGATTATATGACATGCAGTATTGGCAACAGCAGATGGTGGAACACTGTTGAACTCTCTGGACAAATAATATGGCCGAAAACTGCCAACCATTCAACATCTGGGCCACAGTGATTAATCTTCACAGTAAACTGTCCTGGATGACGCCATCTTTTGTTCACTAACACTGCCAACCCACCTCCTTTGTACTTCCCAGTCTTTTATAAATCTCTGTCTGCTCGTGTATTCAGACAGAGAGATGCTGTTCTCTGAGATATGATCCTTCAGCCATGTTTCAGTAAAACATATGTTGCTGCATGGCCGATATTCTGGCTGGATCCTTGATAGGGCTTTGAGTTCTTTTTTTCTTATTTCTTAAAGATCTCACATTTCCCACGAATATTGGAAGATATGCCTTAAGTTTCTTGTTCCTCCCTCGTCTCCTTGCTCCTGCTATGAATCCCCGGGGCCTCCTTTTCAACTTAGCTTGTACTAGTGGAAGTTGTTGATGTATTATTTCAGCTTTAAATATGTTAACTATTTGTTCCAGGATGTAAAAAATCTACTTACTATAGTTGCTGTGGTTATGCATCATAAGAAGTATCCAAAAAGGAAAGGGGTTCAGTAAAAAACCTTCCGCTTTCACAAGATTTAACACCAGAAGCAAAGAGCAACCCCAAAAAAGAAACTGTTCCACAAACGATGAAACTGAAGGGAAAAAAGCTCTCTGATACTATTAAAATAGTATATCAGGGTCAAGCCAGCAGAGCTACTACAACATGAAGCCAAATTAAGCAGCGCAGTTCAAGAATTTTGTTGAAATGTTCAAAATATACTTCAGACTTCCATTTGCTGTAGATGTACAATACAAAAGAGTGTCCTGTATCTAAAAGGCAAAACATACTGATATTACAAAGGTACAACCTTGTTGTTGGCTTAAAGAGCTCTCTGACCTTATGGGTAAATCGGGCTGGTAGATCTACATGGTATAACAACTGACCCAGATTATGTGTATAAATGCAAACAATTAATCAAATGTTAATATTTCTTTCTTCTTTTGTTCCCTCAAGGACAGCTGACTTGGCCACAGAGGTAAAGGTCAGAACCAGAGGAACACAGGGACCAGGCGGCTCGTCTCACTGGGAAGAACTTTAGGCTGCTTCAAATCCCCATTCAGTGACTGGAAGTTTTCTCACCTTTTCTAAAACCACCACAGGCAGACAGCTGCTTTCAGGGACAAGCTTGGTGCGAATCGTTTGACTTCATGACACTGAGAAATCATTAGACTGAGGATGGCTCCTGAAAAGACACTGAGTGATGAATCACAAATGAAACAAGTGCTAAAAATGGAAAGTACACAATACGCTTTGGGCACAGTAGATTGGTCCTTTGGCCAGAAACCCCCTGAAAAGGATTTTTTTTTTTGCTGAAGGAATAGAAAAGAAGCAAGATGAATCTGAGCAAATGTATTTAATGTGTTTATGTGGAGCTGCAAATAAAGGGAAAATATTCTTGTTGTTATAATTATTTTTGCTCTTATTAATCTTAATCATTTGTTCATTCCTTTCAGTCTAGATCATTCTTAGTCCACTTAGTCTATTCAATAAGATTTAGAGGAATATTGTATTGCAAATAACTCAATTTTGTTGAGATTCAATCAAATTGAGAGGATTGTAAAGCGCAATAATTACAAAAAACACAAAAACATATTAAATGATCCATGGGAATCATGGGGAAATGATTGTTGCATGAAAGTCTGGATTTGCAATCATACTCAGTAAAAGTATTAATTTACATAACAGAAGAATCAGACTTCATTGGTGCTGCTTCCTAACTATAAAGGTTAATTTCACAGAACTGTGACTGACTTGGTGTTACAGTGCATTGAATTGTTTGGTGTTTCCTTCATTATTATAAGCAATGTACATCGTTTAAAAAAATATGAAAAGACTGGAAGAATGTCTGAAAAGGTAAAAGTTAATGAAACAATAAGCATGAAGGATCACTATGACCATGGTAAGTCTTGCAGCCAATGCCACCCCTAACCAGTCATTTCCCAGTCCCGTGGCAACCTCTAACAGTTTATTTGTTGTTGCTCCCATGTAATTGTCCACCTCTGAGAAAAGACAGTTTCTCACTAAACAAGAGGGCGGCAGCAGTGATACTATCAAGTGGAATGTCTTAATTTAATGTTTTACTTGTTAGTATATTACCCTGAAACTGACAACTCACATTAAAATAATTAAATGTGAATAGTTCTACATATTCTCATCTTCATACTTTGGAATTTGTGCTGACACATGGCATTGAATGGGAAAAAAAGTATTTCTCTCAATCTTGGTCTTCCTGGCCCCAGCTAATATTTCTCTCCAGGATGGAGTCACAGCCAAACAAGAAGTTACTATGATGTGAAAAAAGCAGAGAGGGTGTAAAGTTAGACATTGAAGTAATAAATACTGCAGAATGGGAGAATAGAGATAGAAGGAACCAGACTGACTAAAAGGGGTCCCTATGTCCTCCATCAGTCTAAGCCTATAGCAGCATAACTATAGAGATAGCTCAGGATAACCTGAGCCACTCTAACTATAAGCTTTATCAAAAAGGAAAGTTTTAAGCCTAGCCTTAAAAGTAGACAGGGTGTCTGCCTCATGGACTAAAACTGGTAGTTGGTTCCACAGGAGAGGAGCCTGATAACTAAAAGATCTGCCTCCCATTCTACTTTTAGAAATTCTAGGACCCACTTATAAATCGTTAATTAAATTGTAACTATGGTTCTGTGAATTCCTGTATGACCGTCAGTGGCAGTAAACAAAGTGGATATGTCTCCTCGCTCTCCGTGCAGGTCGAGATAAAATGTAAACAAAGTCATGCACATGACACGTAGCTCACCTTGGCGTGTGTCTATAAATGTTGAATCTGTTGCCTAAGACTGTCTCACTGTGGGTGAAGTTCCATGTGACCAGTGCTGGCAGTCATTCAGGAATTCGCAGAACCATAGTTACAATGTAACTTACATTCCATTTCATTCCTTTTTGATTGCCAGTGAGAATGTGGAGAAAACAAAAGAGATCATTTTTGACTTCAGGAACTCTGCCACAGATTCTCTCGTCTCCAGCAGGTGCATAGACCTGATTAATGAAAAAGGAGGGTATAGCCAGGTCCACATCCTCCAGGCCATCCTCCTGGAAGCTGTTGAACCATCTCTGTAAGGGGTGTAGATGAAGCCTCAGTGGAGTCAGAGCAGAGGCTTCCAACAGCATCCCCAGCAGTCTCCACCATTGTTTGACTTGGAGTGCTGCTCCCACCTGAAAGGACAGGAGTAAGGAGAGATCCTCTCCATCCTCTCCTTGGTGAGTTGGGCCAATGTGGATATCAAATCCAGGTCCATGCCAATAAAAATCGCCCGCTGGGCTGGGATCAGGGAGCTCTTCTGTCTGTTTATTGCTAGCTCCAGAGCTTTACAGTAATGTGGATCAGGACTCTTGACACAACCCAATCTTTTGCCAAGGTGGTGAGGGTAGAGATAAGCCAGTTGTCTAGATATGGCCAAATCTTTTCCCGTGACAAGTACAGAGGACCCAAGATCACTTTCATGCACCTTGAGAAAATCTGAGGGGCCAAAGAAAGTCCAAACAACAGGACCAAGAACTCATACACCCAACCATGGAAAGCAAATCGCAAATACTTTGTGTGCTCTGGATGGATCAGAACATGAAAGTATGCATCCTGCCGGTCTACAGATGTCAAACCCTCTCTTGGGCACATCACTAGAAGGAAGTCGCATGTGTGGAGCATGAGAAAAGGCAAAACCTTCAGGAAGCGGTCCTTTGTCCGGGGCGCTGCAGTGGGTCTTCCAATTGGCCAGTTGCTATTGTGAAAATGTTCCCAGTGTGCATCCCTAAGGCTTGTCATACATTGCACAAGTTAGTGCCGTTGTACTGTAGCTGAGCAGCTCCTCTCCAGTCTGGTGCAGAGGGTGGAAGGTGTTGTCCATGATGAATGGAAACTTGGACAGCATCCTCCTCTCAGCCACTTCTTCCACTGAGTCCAGAGTGCAGCCAAGGACAGAAACAACCTTTCTCACCAGTTTGCTCAGTCTCTTTCTGTCCCGCTCTGCACTGCCAGGGGCCCAGTAGACAACAGTGTAGAGGAGGGATGATGCCACCACAGTCATAGAAGGTTTTAAGTAGGGGCCTACTCACTCCAAGTTCCGTTTACCTGTATTGTTAATAATAAATAAAAAAACTACACTTTTCATTATTTGTGCACAGTAAGTAGGTTTTTGATACAAATCCTTTCGCTAAAATGCCATCAGCACGCTTATAATATAGGTCCAAACAGGTTGTGCTTTGGTGGCACAGTGGTTAGCGCACATGACCAATGAACAGAGACCTTAGTCCTCCACGCAGCCAACCCTGGTTCAAAACTGGCCTGTGGTCCTCCCTGCATGTCTCTACCCCCTTTCCTGTCAGCCTACTGTCTAAAAAAACCGAGTAGTGGTCCAAAGATCCAAACAGACAGCATGTTGCCAACTTAGCGCTTTTGTTACTATATTTAGCGACTTTTCAGACCCCTCTAGCACTTTGATTACAAAAAAGCGCCTAGTGCCACAACTAGAGACTTTTTTTCTGCTACTGGAGACTTTGGAGACAACATCTAAAAGCAGCGAACTCTGCTCTCCAGAGCGAGTAGATTGGTAACCCCGCCTCCTGCTCTCCTCTATCTTGTCTGCTGTCATGATTCATGCAGCTATTATTTCATCCAAATGAAAAATGGAGAACAGAGAAGCAGATCATGGCTTGTCTACAGTGAGAAGAAGGACTGGGTTATTTACTTTGGCCTTTTTGGAAACACAGGAAGGAGCAATCAGCTAAGTGAGCTTAGTGCTTGGAAAAAATCTTTCATTCCTTTAGAGACAGCATGAAAAGTCAGCTGAGTACAAAACATAGAGAGGAAAACAAGAAGAAAAGGGACAAGAAGAGAGGGACACAACCTAGAACAGATAATGGATGTCTATTCTATTAACATTTCTCTATCTGTAGAATGGGTCTGTTTTATGTGTTGTCTTCTCTAATCAGAGGGCCCCCTGCCTGTCTTTGGTTAGGGCCCCAACTTTCCTGAATCCGCCCATGCTCCATGCCTCCTGACATGGTCATATTTCTGCCGTGAGTTGTTTTTGATTAATCCTGATCCTGAGTGAAGCTCTTTCCTTTTTGCTGGAATTTGGTAGGATTCTTTCCTCCCCTCCAGGTGATAAGAGCTCCATAGAAGGGAAATTATAGAAACTATGCCTTATTTTGCTACCTCGGCCAGAAAGTGCTCTCTGACCCATCTGAAGTACACCAGGGACTGGGCCTTTGTATCATCCGAGTGGTTGAGTACATGTCCACAACGTTAGCTTTGGAACTAGTCTTTGTTGTCTTCCCTCTAATGTTTTTAGGAATTAACCCCTCTGTTTTTTACTGTGCTTTGGTCAGGCAGAGGATGTTGTATTGATACTTTGAAAAAGCACCATTTACTCCCCTAAAAAACTGGCTATTGCTACTTCAGAAGATGATACATCTGCAACTCGACAAAAAAAATGTAGACTGCTTCATGCAAAAATTTATTTGCAGAATGTCTTAATTTATATATTTAAATTTTAGGAGGCTTTCGTGGTATGAATGTAAATGTTTAATCCTCTATTTGGTTTGGTTCATCTGTGCAAAAACATCTGTTTGATGACTCTGTAATGCTGCTCTTCCTGTTTGACAAGGTACGTAGATGTGTGTGTTAGAGAGAATTTGAGTCATTCCACGAGCTGCTATATGTCTCATCATTATGACCATATTTTAGATTAAATACAGAACCATGGATGTTTTGAAGTAAGAAAAAAAAGCTTTACAGAAAGCCTTTTTCTATAAGTTTGTAAGGTGTGTGTGCGTGTGTGTGTGTGTGTGGGGGGGGGGGGGGTATCATAGTTCTTTTATTAAGAATGAATTATTACTTCAACCTTTTAAAGAACAAAACCGAAACAATACACTTGTGGTATCTGCCTTTTCAAGTTGGCTCTGTTTTTATGATCTTACAAGGAACCCAGAACAAGTTCTACTGTAATCTGATATACTGACACTACCCATGGGAAGCCGCTCTGCTCTATTCACTACGGCACTGAAATTTATCTAGGAGACATCAGGGAGGAAGGCTCAGAGGTTTGAGTTCAGGGAGGAACAGTGACTCCTTTTCTGAGTTTGTTTTCCACAAATGGGCACTAATAGGTTCACACTTTGCAGCGTCATTATCATTATACTTCAGGTAAGACCTCTAGAACTGTCTTTATATATCTCTCTATATATATGTTTTTTTTTTTCCAGCTTTTTATTGTCATTACACTTTCACAAGTACAGAGCAACTAAATTCACTCTCTGCTTTTAACCCCTTCCCCTTGGGGAGCAGTGGGCTGCCATTGTGCAGCACCCGGGGAGCAGTATGGGGATAAGGGTCTTGCTCATTAATAATGTTATGTCGTTGGCTGTGCATATTGGGATGAAATGCTAAACTATTGGTACTATTTACATATCTATATTTAAATGATACATATAGATATGTAAAAAAAAAAATTATATATATATATATATGTACTGGCCACCCCACTCGCAAGTGTAAATAGTACCATTAGGTTAGCATTTCATCCCTATATGCACAGCCAACGACATAACATTAAAAAAAATCACACAATAAACCAAGATATGAGTAGGTGTTTCCTTAAGTCTTTATGATTTCTAAAGGCAGGTTTATCACAAAAGTAGATGCAAACCCTGAAATTATGGCTTTTAGTTTCAGTGTGCATCCTCAAGATTTTCAGTGGCCCCATCGGCCCCCCCTACGAAACATTTCTGGAAATGCCACTGCTTCATATCTAAAATAATTTATTCTTTCATCCTAGTTAGAGCCACAGAGAAGGGGCCAAAGGTCGCAGACCCTTGTCCTAACCTTTGGCAAATTTGTTTATACTTTAACAGTTAGCGTTGAGCTATCTGGGCTTTTTGCCAATAACACAGTAAAAAAAAATGTCCTTCTCCAACATAATAGAAATAAGAATCAAAAATAGTCACATTGTTTGACAAAAAACATTTATTTTTGTAAATTTTCTACAGAGGGTTTAATGTGTAGTTTAATTTAATTCAGTAAAAAAAAAAAAAAAAAAAAAACATCTGTAGTTTGCAAATGAAAAAAGAAAAACATCTGTTTGAAATGAACAATTTAGAATCCTATAGTGTGGTTTTTGTTCAGGTCTCAGCTGCCTGGGCTGCAGAGGAGTCACCATGTGTACCTGGAAAGCAGTCGGATCAGCTGGTAGTCACCGTGACCAAAAAGCACTTGAGACATGGGACAGTCCTGGGCAAAGGTTTGATTACTACCTTAAATGACTCATGTTCATGACTCACATTCTCAGTATGCTGCGGGTGTGATTGTGTAATCTGGTATTTTCTTTTTTTCTGAAATAGTTTAGACCCTGTTATAAACAGACAAGCATTAGTAAAGACAAAGGACATACAATCTCATACCTCAATCTGTTTTCGTCCATTAAAAGAAAAGTCTGGTCAGCAAGGAATCATCAGCGGATCATTATTTATACCTAAAACTAATACGTTTGCTGTGATTCTATGAATTTAGTGCTAATCAGTAAAGAAATAAAAACAATATTTTTCATTGCGATCTCTGAGTCTGGGAGCGGCCATTTTTGCCCGAATATAGTAACCCCTCCCTCCTGCCATCTTCCAGCAGTGACGTCACGGTGCGGTAAGCCTAGCGCCATTCTCCCCGCTTTACAAGCAGAATCAATGGGAACTACTAGACACATCTGCAATCAACAACAATTATTGAAGATTTCCAGAAGACTTCACCATTGAAATTCACCAGAGCTATAGTGAAACTGACAATGCCCACGTGCATGGCAGCTGGATGCTGGAATACATTGGGTAAAAGAGTTATTTCACCTTTCCGATTCCTGATTCTCCACGGACGGGTTCATCGTTGGATTGCCAACTTAAAGAGGGAGGATTTGCCATCGAACTTCTGGCCTGAGAAAAAACACGTAATATGTAGCCAACATTTGGAAGAAGAATGTTTTCAAGATGACTTGGATAATAGTGCGTTGTGACAAACACCAGATACAGCACTGGGACTTGATCAGTGACGTGCGGTCAGGGGAGGCAGGTGAGGCAGTGCCTCACCAGCCATCATGGAAAGAAAGAAAATATATAATCATAAAGTAATTTAAATTGTTATATTCATCCGGTGGTTTGTACTAAAAAATATTTATTTTTCATGTAGCTTCACCAATTTCGATTTTTTTTTGTTCAAAATCGCTGAATTTTCTTATTTTCCCATTCAAATGCTTGGAAGCGATGCCGGTGAGGCAGCAGCGAGCTCTGCCTCACCTTGGATTGCGCAACCCCTGGCTCTGCGCTGGCTGCCAAGCGGAGAGAGCATGTTGCTGTACGGCGTCAATAAAATTGTTTAAACAAATTTAATATGTGAACTTATTTCCAATAATTTAGCTTATGTACAGTGCTTTTTGTCACCAACTGTGTTTGTGTAACGTGTTTCGTGTAATGAGCGATTATAAACGGCAGAGAACAGGTTCAAGGTGAGCCAGGCAGTTCTCTTGCCTCATGGCAGGGGGTGCTCAAGATCCCAGACATTCGTCTTGTTCATCGGGAAGCAAGTCAAGTGCAGCGATAGATTATAATAGAGACAGTGATTTTTTTCCTCTCGTTTATCCCGACTTTCGACATGGATGACTACATTACAACACTAAAAAAGTTTTCTCAAGTGGACTTTCAGTCGAAGCAGGAGATAATAACCAAAGGAAGACCAACGCCGGAGCTGAAAGGTTTGTTGCAGACTACGGGACAGAAGGTTAACCGCTCTTTTCAAACCGAGTGGTATTCACGAAAAGACTGGCTTTGTGGATGTCCTGCTCGAAACCGCCTTTTCTGCTTTCCTTGCCTTCTTTTTTCAACTTGTGGCACTGTGTGGACTCAGATGGGATTTGGTGACTTGAAGAACTTGCAAAGATCCCTCACCAAACATGAGCGGTCCACCACTCATATTCAAAGCCAAATTGCGCTAAAAACCTTCGGCCTGTCCAGGATAGATTTGGCTTTGGATGAACAGCGGAGACTCAACATCAGCATCCACAATGCTAAGGTAAAGGAGAACCGAGAGATTTTAAAAGATCTCATCAATGCGACCTGCTTTCTCGCTAGACAGCAGCTAGCATTTCGTGGAAATGATGAGAGCAAGGGCTCTGCTAATCGTGGCAACTATGTTGAACTCTTGCATGTCCTTGCTGAGAAAGATGACAGACTAGCTAGACATTTGGAGACATCCACTGTATTTTCCGGCTTGTCCAATAGAATACAGAATGAATTAATTGAAGCAGTCGGCGATGTCATTAGAAATGATATTAAGCAGGACATAAGTGCAGCCCCATTTGTAGCTGTAGAAGTAGACGAGACCACAGATGTCACAAGCAAAGCTCAGATCTCCGTCATATTGCGCTATGTGACTCAACCTGAAGCAGGCTGTAAGGTGAAGGAGGCGTTTTTGGGGTTCGATGATGTGAGTGCGGACAGACGTGCACCTGCCATAGCTGAGTATGTCCTGAGTGTGCTGGAGAAATACGGCTGTGTTGATAAGCTTGTAGCTCAGACATATGATGGGGCAGCTGTAATGGCATCAGAGCTTAATGGGGTGCAGGCTAAAATTAAGGAAAAGGTGCCTGAGGCCATGTTTACACACTGTTACGCACACAAGCTGAATCTGGTGCTATTGCATTCAGCAAAGTGCATGCCCAAGTGTCGTGCATTTTTTAAAACAGCTGAGGGACTCGGGGCGTTTTTCAGCAAGTCCATAAAGCGTACTCGTTTGTTGGATGATGTTGTCAAGCGCCGTTTACCCAGAGCAGCGCCGACAAGGTGGAATTCAAATTCTCGGCTGCTGCAGACAATAAGCATGCACCAAAACGATCTGCGTGCTGTGTTTAATGTCATTATGGAAAATCCCGATAGCTGGGATAATGACACGCTGATGATGGCAGCAGGATATGATCGGTGGCTGTCAAAAGCATCTACATGCTTTCTTATCCATACATTTGATGGCATTTTCAATGAGACCGACGCACTTTTCAGAGTGCTGCAAAACAAAGTGACGGACATTGAATACTGTGTTGCGCGCATCCGGGACACAGTTTCAGTCATGGAGCGCATGAGACTGGAGTTTGACAATTACTACTTCCGATTCGAGCAGAAATGCGGCGCACTTGGTTTGACAGATGGTACAGACAGACATTCGGCTAGAGATGAACGGAGACACCTGTTCTATAACATTCTTGACAACATCAGCGATCAAATGAAGGCTAGGTTTGGCCATTTTGATGAACTTGCTTTCCTCGGTTTGGTGGATTGCGCAAAGTTTTATGAAATGTCAAAACATTTTGATGACACGAAACTGCAGAGCCTGTCAAAGTATGCCAAGTTTTTTGACTTTGTCCGACTGAAGGCCGATCTCATTGGACTGTATAGCTCAAAAACGGTGAGGGATGAATGCAAATCTCCTGGACAGCTTCTCAACTTTTTGGCCGAGAAGGATCTTGTTGTAACTGTTCCTGAGGCGACAAAGTTGCTCCAGCTCGTGCTCACGGTGCCAGCTACTACAGCGTCAGTGGAGCGGTCATTCTCAGCCCTGAAGAGACTGAAAACATACAGCAGGAACAGGACGGATCAAGGAAGGCTTTCTTCCCTGGCAGTGATCTCCATTGAGACAGAGAGACTTTTAAAACTGAAGGAAGATAAGGAGGACTTCTATCGCAAAGTGACGGATGTTTTTGTGCAGAAGGAGCGACGCATGGACTTCATTTATAAGTAAAGGTAAGACAGTAATAACATTTATTTTGTTTTGTTTTTTAAGGAAATGTGTGTTTTGTGAGCTACAGTTCAGTTTGTATGTGTAAGGATGCAGAAGTGAAACATAACCTGTAAATTGCTCCCAATCTATGCATCTATTTGCAAATCTGATTCTGATGACGTCAGTGCCTCACCAGCTATGAACCTCACCGCACGTCACTGGACTTGATCAACAGCCGATACCGCACTGTGACGTCACAAACCAGTAGGTGGCAGTAGTGTTCTTTGACAAATATGGATGCCTCCAGTAAAGCACATTCAAAGGAAAATTACTCTTAATTAGAAACACTTATCATTTATTGAACAGTATGTAATAATTTTATATTTAAAGTACTTTCAGAAGTTAGTGTTCTGAATGTGAGCAGAATTTTCCTTTAGATGTCACCATCGTCAGAGTAAATCATGTTCCCAAACCAGTTCCTCAGGTGTTTCTTCGGAAAACCTGTGAACGTTTATTGGCAAACCTGGAAACCCAACGCATCAGAAAACTCACATATAATCTATTCACATGTTTCCTGATAAACACCAAGCTGTTATTTCTTCAAAGAGTTACATCTGAGTCATATGCCTCTCTGCTCATAGTGCTTTTGCTGATGTAATCAACAGCTGATGGTGGTTAGTTTACTTCACACTCTTTGATCATTTCCATTCCAGCACATTTTTCTACAATCCATTCTCAGATGTCTTCGATCATCATCATAGCTTTAGTTTCCTCTTCCTGTTCTTCTTCATACCAGACTAACCAGTTCTACAACTTGGAAACTGAAAGCTTGACTTTAAACTCTATCCTGGTGCTTTTCCAAACATCTCCATTGGATGCTGTGATGGAAGTGGCTTGAATAAAATGAAAATTATGGCAGGTTCGACAATGATGTGGTAGTCAAGACCACCTGATCAGAGAGCAAGATCAGCGCCACATACTTCATATGACGATGAAACGAGAAACACGATCCTTCTCAAATCAACCAGAATGATCCACATTGCCACGAAAACTACAACATTTTAAGATCTAAAAGATTAAATAAATTTTACTTTTTACATTTAATACTCAGTTCTAAGGCCGTTTAATATTTTATTAAATCTTGCCTAAAAATGAAAATTATTGAAACACATTTTTTGCTAGAAAATTCCTAGAATACACAATGTAATTCAGCTGCAGATCCCCAGATAAACATTATTCTCCGTTCACACCAAATGCAATTTCAGCATCAGAAAAGCATCTGCTGCTTCATTTCTGATGTTTGTCCACATTAAGGTTAGACGTCCAGTAAAGTGTGTCCAGATGTGTCTGCTGCTTCTGCTGCTCCTGTGTTCAATGCCAGAGAGCGGCTTTGCTAGATTTGCTGTGATCAGTGGGTAAAAAGTAGTTTTAGTATATTTTTAAGTGAGAAAGTCCTGAAAACATTGTCTGTGCAGGCAGCTCATTCAGATTACCACTGTCACTGGGAATCCCCAGCAGCAGCTGCCTCAGGCCCGGTCGCCTCTTGGGGGTTTTCCCCTACTGTTGGTGGCAGCTGGAAGTAGATTTTAGCATTTTTCAGGTCTTTGGTACAAACTGCTGGCACCGGGATATTAAAACAAACATATTTTGCCTCTGTAGATACCACATCTGCTCCTGTCCTGCTTCATGCCAGTAACTACATGATTGGCTGAACGTTGCCGCATGACGTAAAACGTAGCGGTTGCCCACACAACAATAATAATATCCCGTCTGTTTAAATTTGCATGTTTTCTAAGCCAAAGCAAGTCTTTGTTGGGCTACTGTATAAAACCTTGAACTGAATTGAAAAAGCTTCCTGGATGGGAAGCGAAACGTCTTCAAACTTGGAAACAACGTCCAGTGGATTCTTTTTTAACTTTTTTGGAATGACTATGACCTGGAAGTCTGAGAATCTTAACCAGCAGGCTGCACTTATTGTTTTTTTCCAATGATGATTCTGCGTAGCAGTGGGATGAACCTGAACCCCTGTCGTTTCCAGCGTCTTTAAGCCCTGATTAGACTATCGTTTGTTGTATACACTTCCCAAAAGCCGACTCTGTTAAGTAAATTCACCAAAGGCTGCCCTCTTTGCATGACTCTCCTCAAACTTCCTGAATGTTACCTGCGCTGCCATGTTGATTTGCTTGTTTACCCCTAGAGAGCAGTAGTACTGTAGATCGCCTCTAGGAGGCGAGGAACCATGCTAGCGATGTGTGTAAATGAAGTCCTTAAAGAACATCTTCAGGATTAAAGGACTGACGTTTTAGCAGGACCTTGACAAATTAATATATTTGTTTATCTTTAGTAGAACTGATTACTGCAATAGCTCTACATTAAAAGTAAGTTTTCTAGATCTCAGAGAGTAGACTTAAATACTTCTTTGAGTCTAGAAATTACTGAATGGCTGAACTCCAAAATACATTAAAGACATGTTGTCAGAGGATCAACCTCCGAAATATGAAATCTTAATTAAAAATATAACTATGTAATTTTGCAGTTAATAATTGTACCCGTTTAACATCTTTTTTATTATTTTTTTCAGTTGCCTATACTGACAGCAAAAACAGCACAAGATCACCTTTCTGGTCTGATGATAAGCACTTTGTGGTCCGGTCAGATGGAACACTAACAGTAAGTAAAAAACCCAGAGGTGTCAAAAGTAACAATGTTTATTACATAGATTTAGTCTTGGACAACATTTATTGTCAAAATGTTGCTTTGTATACACTCTGTCTATACACAGGGTGTCTTCCTTACGGTGGCCCTGAAGTGCAAACTGCAACTACAAATCTAAAAGCGAAACTACATTAAGAAAAACTAAACTACATAAAGCAAAGTGCAACTACATTAAGGAAAACACAATTACATTAAACTACCGGAAAAGGTAGGTACCAGTAGGAAACATGAGACATCGCTGATTGGATGACGGCGCCATAAGTACATAAGTTTTACTTCTTCCAACTCCTTTTCGCACATGTAATAGAGGTATATTAACTAAGGAAAGAAAGGTACCTTGTTTGTTGTTTCTCTCTCCAATGTTTTTAAACTTTGTGTTTTTTTTTCTCTCTCTTGCATGTTCGAAATAAAGATACCAATTCAAAAATTCAAAAAAAAAAAAACCTGTCCTTACCCTTACCTTGGACATTTGTGTATAATAAAGTCAGTAGAGGAAAGTGTATGCAGGCTTATTTCATGCGTTTTGCTATCTGAGTGGGATGGCAGATGACACAGAGAGAATGCCTTTGCTTTATTTGCAGTGATTTGGGGGGAAAAGGTAGTTTTAATATGGTTTAAATCAGGAAATTAAACCTTAAAACGTCCTCATTGCAGTCAGTTCATTCGGATTATGATCCTATATTTAACTACTCTAATTTTTTCTGAGCAGCAGACCTTCGTATACAGGTGTGCGTTAGTACTGTGAATACCCTCCAGGGATAGGCTCAAACTTCAAAGTGTGCCGAGGCAGACAGCTGAAACATGAGCTCTCTATGCTCCTTGATGTACGTCCACCTTGTACTGGAAACCGTATGCCCCTGATGCTAAAAAAGTTATGATTTTACCTTTTGGATCTTTTGTTTCTGTTTAAGTTTTAATTCTTTGGGGTTCTCTATTTTTTTTTGTTTTGTGTTTTTTTCAAAAATAATGATAATATTTTGTATTCCTAGTTTTCCTCTTCCAGGTTATCTCTTCTTCACAATTTTTAGTATTGTTTATTCCTTGGTCTAGTTTTAGTTATAGTTATTCTTTGTATTATCTTAAGGTTAGGTTTTCCATTGCTTAAGTTGTCTCCGGTCTCTTCTCTTATCCTCTACTTTCCCTTGGTGATTCCTTATTTTGTAGTAGTGATGTTAGGCTCGAATTAGTCTGCTCGACAGAGCTTCGACCTTTTTGAAGCAGAAGTGTCGCTGAGAAATGTTTCCAGTGCACCCCGGTCACGTGATTGCTAAAAGCAAGGTTTCGTTATGTCAAATTTTGTATCAAGCTTCACAGTAAATTTGAATCATCTGGGCGTTTCAATGCTATTTATTTATTTTAATGCAGCCGAATTTGAGCTCAAACCGTGGCTTTTTTTTCCCCATTCTCGGTTTATTTAAACACAGGGAAAGAAATATTTTTTAAGTCTAATTTAGAATTGATTCAGAATAGTTTGCTTTATGCAGATAGATCTAAAATAGACAGAGGCACACACATCTCTACCCACCACAGTTATCCATTGAGTAATTTATAACAGATATTTATTCACGCAGCACATCTAATAAACTATTGATGCTTCTTCTTTAATGCGATTATCCTCATCTGTCAGAACCACAGAAAGAACATGGAAAACCTGTTGGAACTACTGGGCAGCAGAGTTGGTTTCAATCATTTAAACTATTGATACTATTTAAAGGATAATTTATTGATGTGTTCATATAGTTATAAGTGCAGCGAGGTCAGATGGCATGCCGAACAGGCCGAGAAGTGACCTAATTAACATAAATTACCAAAAAAAGAAATGGATATGAAAGAGGTTTTCAGACTCAAAATCTGTCAGTTGAGAGAAATGCATGTTAACCTGTCTGCCTAACGAATGTATTAAAGTCTGGAAGCCAGGATGGATTAGAATTTAGGACCATAATAACAGGAAAACTCTGTCACATAGCTGGTATGAGTCAGAGGAGCTGTTTATCATATTGCATATTTTTTATTATCTATTTATATAATCATTATCAATGTTATTATTATGGAACAAACAAGTTCAGCCGTGAAAAAATGCGTACATTAGGATACCCATTCAATTGTAGTTCTTACAGCTATCCAGCAAATGCTGCCATTCTAACCTGTTTCAAATGTTTTCAGCATTTTGCCCAATTGTCTCAAACTGGTTCATTGGTTCACAGGGCTTTGAAATTTTCATCACTTTTTTGTAGTCATCACATTTATTCACCTTTAGCCTTATTTAAGTTATTTCTTAGTTACTTTTGAATCCTGTTGTTTCTCCATGGCTAGTCTTTGCTGCCCCCTAGTGTCCTTTCCTTCCCCCTTAGCTCCTTCTAGTTACTTCTGTCAACACCTGCTCCCTATTAGCTAATAGTCCTCCCATTGTTTCCGTCTCCCATATATACACCTCCTGTGCATTAACTCATTGCTGGATCCTACTCATTCTTTAAGTTTATTCCTCCCTAGTGTCTAAAAAGTTTTTTGGCTCTTAAGTTTCTTGTCAAACAGTTTTGGACTATGGATTCTGTATTAGTACCTCTTCTCTAAATTTGGAAAGCAATCATCCCTTCCTCTTCTAGACTGCAGTTGGGTCCCCAACAACATCCACCTACGTTGACACAAAATGCATTTGATCATAACGCAACCCAAGCGGAGAAGCAGCACGACCAATACTGAAAGATTGCCTAAGTGAGGGGCTAATAGGTCTGTTAGCATAGAAAACTATAATTCAGTTTTTTAATAGGTATTAGTTATTTTTGTCAGGAAGGTTTCAAACTCAGGCTGATTGAACAATATTCTTCATCAAACATCCCATGAACTGCAGAGATCAATTACCAGACTGTGGTTGTTGTCTTCGTCCAGCTGAAGAGAGAAGTCGTTCTCCATGAGGGCTACCGACGCTTCCTCCTTTAGTACTTGAACATGCATGATCAGAAAATTACTGTTCCGGTCATTGTGTTGTACCAACAAATTCACCACAGGGAAAAAGAGCCACAGCATCTCACTGTAACAGATTCATCCAATAACACTCAAGTTTAGAGATGCTTTATTTTCCTTCAGGTTAAGATTTGATTAGTTCCTGTTCAAAGTTCAGCGCCTAAACTTTCTTTACTGTACTCAGAACTTCAACATAAAATGGTGGTTGTTGAAATTATATAAAAATGTTTTTCTTTCAGGGCATCGCTGATGAGGAGGTACCCATCCTGCATTTTCCTAAGGCTCCCAAAGGAATGAAGAGGCGGAAGAGAGCGTGGATCCTCCCTCCAATCAGTGTTACTGAGAATCAGCGTGGACCATTTCCCTTAAAAATTAGTCAGGTAAACCACTAAACTACATAACGAGTAAGGAAAGATACACATTTAAATAGTAAAATAAATTACTTAAATACTTGGGAGTTACACTTATCCAAGACCTGTGCATTCAGGAAACTAATTATTCCACAATTAACAGTAAGATAAAAAGAGATCCCTTGAAATGGTCAAAAATTAGTAGTGGATTTTGGCTCTATCTAGGCTGCTATAACTGTTTTTATCATTACTGTTAAAGATTGCAGAGGCTCAATTTAAAACATGGAACAAAGAAGTATCTAGATTTGTCTGGGCAGGTAAAATACCAAGAGTAAAATTTAAGACTCTCCAATTGGATGGAAGAAATGATGGCTTAGTCCTCCCTAGCCTTAAAGAAAAAGTCCAGACAGCAATGAATCATTAATGGATCATTATTTATGCCTAAAACTAGGTGGTTTAATGAATTGAGCTTTAATCAGTAAAAAAATAAAAACAACATATTTCGCGTAAGCTGCCCTTTTTACCCAAATATAGCATCTCCCTCCTGCCATCTTCTGTTAGTGACGTCACGGTGCGGTAAGCCTAGCGCCATTCTCCTGCTTTACAAGCAAAATCAATGGGAACTACTAGACACATCTGCAATCAACAACAATTATTGAAGATTTCCAGAGGACTTCACCATTGAAATTCACCAGAGCTATAGTGAAACTGACAATGCCCACGTGCATGGCAGCTGGATGTTGGAATACATCGGGTAAAAGGGAAAAAAATTTGTTATTTCACCTTTTCTGATTCCTGATCCTCCACGGACGGGTTGTTCGTTGGATTGCCAACTTGAAGAGGGAGGATTTGCCACGAACTTCTGGCCAGAGAAAAAACCCGTAATATGTAGCCAACATTTGGAAGAAGAATGTTTTTAAGATGACTTGGATAATAGCGCGTTGTGACAAACACCAGATACAGCACTGGGACTTGATCAACAGCCGATACCGCACCGTGACGTCACAAACCAGTAGGTGGCAGTAGTGTTCTTTGACAAACATGGATGCCTCTAGTAAAGCACATTAAGATGAAAATTACTCTTAATTCAAAACACTTATCATTTATTGAACAGTATGGAATAATTTCATATTTAAAGTACTTACAGTGGTTTGTATTCTGAATACGACCGAACTTTTCCTTGAAAGGATATTATTATGTAGCACAACTGAGGTACGTAGACAGTTGGTGTTCTTTTAAATACGAAGTCATATGGAAACAAATAAATATAAACATATCCCAAATACAGTCAATAGCCAGGCTTAGTGAAAAATAAAGGAGAAATAAAAGTATAGCAAAGAGAAAAAAAAAGTATTTTAGAGGAAATTCTCAAAATATGGCATTAAGGTCCTTAAGAAATACAAATCAGAAGGGGATAGTAACCTTTTAATGTGGCCCTGCCTGTCATCGAGATTCAAACCAATTTATAGCACATTTATAGAATGGAGGAGAACGGGGATAACAGCTATCTGCACACTCGTAGAGGGCAAAACATTAGGTAAACTCAGAAGAGAATTAGATCTTAATAACAGATTTTGTTTCAGATGCCTACAGCTAATATACTTCTATAGCCTACTAATGATATTGAGAAAGAATAGTTTTCAGAAGGAAATAAATATATTGATTGATTTTTGGATGCATACATGAAAATACCAACAAGAATAGTCTCTAAGCTGTTTAAAAGCCCATAAACACGAAATGGAAATAACTCACTATATATAAAAAGTCCAAATGGGAAGCAGAAATCAAAGTTAAACTTCCAAAGAGCGTCTGACTTTAAATAAGTAAAACCCAACAGTCCTCTACAATTTTTAGAGTGGAGGTCTTCAACAGGGGGTTGTCTTGTTTCATTGGCAAAGTAACTCACTTACTTCCTCAATTCAAGACCAAATGCAGTTATTGTAAGAAAAAAAAATGACTTATTTTAAGAGAAAAGGACTTATTTAGAATTAATTGTTTGCAGTGCAGAGCACCAGATTTCTGCGTTTACAAGTTTTTGACACCGAAAACACTTTTGGTGTGAAGGCAGCATCATAGAGCCATCAAAACTCATCTGTCAATCATTGCAACAGTTTTATAGTCCTGCCTTATAAATCCTTGCAACACACAATGGTAAAAGAACAAGAGAATGTTTAATTAATGTTTTTTTTTTTTTACGTAGTTCAGAATTTGTTTTTGGTGATTTTGCAGGTTGAACGGGTTAAACACTTAGGAAAACGTACTTTTTTAGTAGATGACCAAGCCTTGGTCTGTTCTGTTCAGGTAAAGTCTGATGACCATGTAAACAAACGGATCCGCTACAAAATCACCGGTCCAGGGGCTGACCAGGATCCCGTTAAACTCTTCACAATGGATGAGGAAACAGGTCATCTTTATGTTACACAACCTCTGGACAGAGAGAAACAAAGCAGTTACACGGTAAGCTCTATCGCTGTTAGTTTGTTCTACTTTCTACCAAAACGATTTGTTTGTAGCATTTGAGAACTAAAACAAGAAATTTTCGTTAAATCCTGCTTCAGTTTTTGAGACTTTGTTTACCATAAGCCACACAGAGTAATCTTTGGCAGCTAATAGCCGTAATTCTTGTTGTAGATGTGATGAAGACTGAACTCTATCTGACCTGACTCTTGCACATACATTTTTAGATAAACAACAATATTCATCCAAGCCTTTATCTCTACATGTTTGAGTTATTGTGGTCCTTCTATGTTCTTGTAGGTTTTGGGTCTAAAAAATGTAATACAATATCAACTATGTTAAATAAATATATTTTTACCTCTATTTGGCTGATTATAAACTGGGTTTTAATTGGTTTGATTATTTATATCATTTTTAATTGGTTTAGAAAATGTTCAGGCTACTGAACTTATTTGTTGAAGTATTTTCTCAATGAATGTGTGAAAAGTGGCGGAGTGGGATTATTTGGAGTTAATCACAGGGTGTGTTATTAGCTAAATCACAATTATTTGCATTTATTTTAATCAAACTTATATTGATAAATAAATCAACTTTTCAATTCAATGAACTTATTTTACTCCTCAGTTATTATTTTCTTTATTTGAATGTTTATTTAGGAATAACATGAAGAGACCGTTTCGCATGTTCAATAAGTACGGAACTCCATAAAATCTCTCATCAATTGAGTCTGACACTCTAAATTAGGGCTGAGCCAATTAATCGGATTAATTGCGAATAATCGCAGTTAACCGATTATTTAAATAATTGTCAACGATTAAACGCTAACTGGAGTATAGAGACTGTAAAACATGCCTTTAACTGACAGAACAACTCTCTCTAATTATATCAAAATCATGAAAAAAAAAAACATGTAAACATTTTGCATTGAAGATAAAAATATTTTCCATCTTTTAAAATGCTCTATGCTGAGCTCGTCAAGTGGAAAATTTTGCACTCTGGACTGAGATGGACTGAGACTTGTTTTTGCTTAGACAGCATGCAACTTAAAACGGAGGAATGGGGTTCAGTTTGCAGGTTTTCTAAGCAAAAACAAGTCTTTGTTGGGCTACTGTATAAAGCCTCGAACTCAACGCTACTTCTAACATTTTGAATTGAAAAAGCTTCCTGGATTGGAAGCAAAATGTCTCCAAATTTAGAAACAAATTTGTTTTTTTTTTAACCTTTTTTTATTTCTATTGCCTGGAAGACTTAAAACCAGCATCTCTGACTAAAAGAGACTTAGGGTTAATCTCAGTCGGAGCTTTGCTGCCCCCTGCAGGAAATCGTGTCAAGTTTGTTTACCTTCGTTAAAAAAAACACACAGCTAAAACATATTTGCAGTCATTAATGAAAACTTGAACCAATGAATGTTAGACTTCTAACAATTCTTCTTTATGAATGAGTGTTTAAGGATTTAACATTGTGTTCCACATTCCCAGGCTGGGGAAATTTTACCATTGTTTATTTATCAATCATAGATTTGATTAAATTACGAGTTGCTCTTCTCTTGTTGATCAGTGATAAACATCTGCCTTTTTTGGACAGTTGAAAGCACTTGCCGAGTTAGATGGTTCGGCAAAAGCAGAGGATCCAATTGATGTTACAATCGTGGTCATTGACCAGAACGACAACAATCCCGTTTTTAAAAAAACAGTCTACAATGCAGAAGTTCCTGAGTCTTCAACAAGAGGTAAAGTCAATGGATTTACATAAAACTCACCTGAATCTTCTGTTCTCTTACATCCTTTTATTGCTTTTACAACAGGAAGATGTAGAATTGTGTAAGATGGCCTGTGAAAGGTCTGTCAAGTAAATTTATTTAAGCACCATTGGCATTAAGGACAGTTAGAGGTACAGCATCTATCTACAGCAGTAGCCATTCAAAATTTCCCCACTTTCCTAGATGGTCCTTGGCTGTTTCCCTACAATTCCTTTTTAAACATCAATCTTTTACTAAAATATTCTTTCTGTTATGATTTGTGGATATTATGATCTAAAGAGATCATAATGGTCAGACTCTGTAATTCAGTGAAAGGGGGGAGTCAGAGTAAAGATATGCACGCCCAGGAGAAGGCCAGTGGCTGGAAGCTGGTGAGGAATTTGCTGGGAGTTGTAGGGCTGCCATTCGGCTGGCGTTTGACTGGGTATGGACATTTTGAATGGCTGCTACTGTAAGGGACACTTTAAAAGGTAATAATGAGCAATTTTGATCACACTGTTTAATATAAGACAGTCTGAGTAGGTTGGAGACAGCTGTTAAAAGAAAAAAAAAACATTCAAACCACATTCCCACATTTATCCTTCACTTCATCAAAGATTTTTCCACTAAAACATTGTTGCCTTATGTTGCTTTATATGTATTTATCTCAGAGGTCAACAAATGCAATTATTCTCTCCACACTATGGTCCCTGTTTATGTAGCTTATTAACACCTACAGGTATTTACTATTTATTTTTCACTAATAGATAGCTTACTGCCTTAAGATCTCTGTTACACCTCAGACTGTGAATCTAATGTTTATCTTAAATGTAGAATAAATGAAATAAAAGAGTAAGGAAAGGCAATTTAGGGCATCTCTGCTGAGACTGCTTCCCCCTAAATCCGGGGCAGGTGTCACAACCCGATCCAAGCACGATTGATCAACCACTTATTTCTATCCTCACTAAAGAATGCTAATACACACCTTTAAAAACTGTTTTATGATTTTTGTGAGACAATTGAATTAGCCTGTGGCCTACATTGGACCCTATATCTCATAGTCAGTATGTGTAATAATGCAGCACCACAGGTGACCTACTCCGCCACTTGTAGTGGGCTAGTTTTGGCTCATACTAGTGTTGACTGTTTTACTTTTTCTTAGAAATGTACCTACTGTTGACTGCATGTGGCCTACACAATATCAGTGTTGGGAGTAAGGCACTAAAAAAGTAATCTAATTAGGCTACAGTCATTTATTGCTTTTTTACAGTAATGCAGTAATGTAAGGCATTACCAATGCAATTTCAGTAATATTTTACTCAGTACAATTCTCAGTAACTGAAGTTACTTTGCTTTTTAATCCAACATTGAGAAATGCTTAATTGGCACCAAAGAAGATTATCCAAGATAAGAAAAGTCACCTATGCTGGTCCTGGCATTTGATTGCCCTGTTTAGATGACTGTAGAAAGGGAATTTGAGTTTTCTCTGCCATTCATGCAACAGATCTAACATGGTTAGGCTATACTTCTCATTTCAAGCAGTGAGAATAACTAAAATGTTGCTTTTTCAGACAAAAATCTTAGCCATTATTCTCAAAGTATTTGCATTACGTGAACCATGAACTATTTAAAGTCAACATAAAATTGCACTATGGCTATATTTTACCAGATTAAGTTGTGATTGACCTTTGGCCTTTGGGGTCTACTTTGTCCAATGAGCCATATCTGCTAGCCTGGGTGCCATTCCGAACTTAGTCCCGCCCACATGGTTTGAGGTTGGGAAGTTCGGTCTGGCATTGCTCAATAGTAGCGCGAGTATGCTAGCACAATATCTGGCGGGCCAATCAAATTGTCAGGGCGGGCTTTATACGATGATGGACAGATGATCAACAGTAACGTAATCAACCACGTGATCAAAGCGCGCTTGGGTAACAACAACAATGGCTGCCGCCGGAGAGTTGAGGTGTGTAGATTCTGCTATTAGGTCTGTTGTAGAAGATATCGACAGCACATTAATTTTAAAAGAGAAACAGAGAAACGCGATCAAGGCATTTGTTGAAAAGAAAGATGTTTTTGGCGTCCTTCCCACCGGATTCGGCAAAAGTTTAATTTATCAGCTGGCTCCCTTGGTCGCTTAACATACGTCACGCACTCCGTTGCTCTTATTGGTTGTAGGTCTGTCCAATTGAGTGCAGAGGCATTTTTTTTCCTGGTTCGTTCAAAACACGCCCCATAATCACAGCTCTATGGAGCAGCATCAGACTCATATTCTGACTAGAATTGAGTCGGACTACGTCAGGCTACATATCTGCCACCATTATAATGGTTGTGTTATATCAAGGTTGTGCACTGTGGTAGTGATGGTGTTAAATCACTTAAAATGTTAAAATGCTTACCAGTTTAAATGTCTGAATAAAGTTAATAGTAAATAGTTATTGTCACTGATTGATAGTGGGCAATCTATTCCAATTATAGAGTAAATAAGTACACTTAAGGAAGGGCTCCTTGAGTTACTGAACATTCCTCAGGGCAGAGGTTTATATTGGGGTGTCTAACATGAGGGGTCAGCATATCTGTTGACTGATTATGGAAGAAGTCTCTTGCTTTTAGATATTTTTCCAGGTGGTGTACAAGTGAAGGGATAGAAGAAAAAGGCTCTTAGAATGAAATATTTTGTAGTATTTGAAAATACAAAAATACAGATTTTATTTTGATAATTTTTTTGGCTGCTGTATTGTGTAGTTTATTTTGATAGATCTTTAAGGTGGGTATTTGGTATTTTATTTGGAAATACATTTTCATATATTTGTGCCCATTCCTGGCAGTGTTCAGCCAATCATGTAGCGTAACGACACTGGCATAAAGCAGGGCCCGGGCAGATCTGGTACCTACAGCTGTGTCAGATAAGTGGAAGAGGACAAGTATGAACCAGACATATGTGAGAAAAGACTCAGTAAAACAAAATCCCTAGACATTAAGGATTACCTAATAATAGGATATTGAAGTTTAATTTAAAACAGACGTTTGGCAAAATGATTTCTAAGATCTAAAACCCTTCTGAGGATCAGAATAGGTCTCAGGAAATAATTGTGTTTGTTTTGTACTGTGGATATTTTGATTTAAAGAAGAAAATGCATGATACATTTTTCCCTTTAATTAATTGAATTCATTCATATTAATTTAGTTTGAGTTTTTTTTTTGTGCTTTTTTAATCAGTAAAATGTCTGCTCTGTTTCCTCCTGATAAAGGTTTTGAGTTTATTCAGGTTGAGGCCACAGATGCTGATGAGCAAAATACTGACAACTCTGACATTAGGTACCGTATCATGGAGCAGATCCCAGAGACACCGGACCCTGAAATGTTTACCATAAATGCTGTAACTGGAACAATGAGAGTCAACATGGCCAAGTTGGACAGAGAGGTAAGACTGCTTATGAGTGAAAGAGAAAATAAATGGAAAGTAGGCCTTTCTTTAGGATCAAAAGTGTGTTTTAAACATATTTTAGATGATTGTAATATTTACTTCATGCAGAAAGCTGCTCAGCAAAGATTAGAAGGGGTTGGTTGTTGTATAATGCATAAAGAGTTTTCTGTTTTTAGTTAAATAGGGCATTTATAATTTTCAAGATACCATTTTAAAGTTTTTTCAATAAGGGAAGCCTGATATTGATTGATTGGATTGATTGACTTTATTGATCTCCCAGTGAAGAAACTGCCTCGTTACATCGGCACAATAGTCAAAAAGATAAAGGTGCCAAAGGAAAAAAAAGGTGCATGGGGGGTATATACAGTATATACAGTTTCTTTTTTAAAGGAAGGGCTATTATACAGGGTTATTACACAGGGTACGAAATAGTAATTGTACATTATACATTGCACAAGTTGTTGCTGTTTTAGTGTTGCGTTGTATAGTTTTGTGGCAGCAGGGATGAATGACCTGCCGTAGCGCTCCTTTTCACCAAAAGTTTTTCACTAAAGGAACGGCTCAGCTCCTCTACAGTCTGGTGCAGAAACGTTCTTTCTCACCTGTTGGCAGAGATGGCAAAAGTACTCACTTTCCGTACTTGAGTAAAAGTACAGATACTTGTGTTGAAAAATACTCTGGTAAAAGTGGAAGTACTGATTAAACTTCTTTAACTCCATTCAATGGTAACTCCATTGAAATGATTCAAAACTAAAGTAACGAGCCAATTTTTTAAAATGTAAGGAGTAGAAAGTACAGATATTTGTGTGAAAATGTAAGGAGTAGCCATAAAAAAAGTAGTAAAGTAAAGTAAAAATATCAGAAAAATCTACTTGAGTACAGTAAGGAAGTATTTGTACTTCGTTACTTCCCATCTCTGCCTGTTGGTTCCGTCTCTTTCTGTCCCGCCCTGCACTGCCAGGGGTCCAGCAGATGACAGCTTAGAGGAGGGGTGATGCCACCACAGAGTCATAGAAGGTTTTAAACATTGGCCTGCTCACTCCAAGGGACCTCAGCCTCCTCTGGCCCTTCTCATACAGGGCATCTGTGTTATGAGTCCAATGTTGTGATTTTATGTTCCATTCAATTCTATTCCCAGCCAGCTGGGAATTTATACTTCTGATACTTTAAGATGTTTATTACCCTCCCCGGTAGGGGGGGGTAAATATCTTATTTAATCAAATATTATTTCGGCTGTTTTATACTGTTTATGAACACACAACCTACTAGCTATGTGTTAGAACAATAGATGAAAGGGTGATTCGAGCACTAATCATGGTCAAACAGTTAATTCTGTACAAACATGGAATAAATTCACCACAACTTCCGTTCAAAATATAAGAGTTTATTAACAAAAATATTCAGCTTCAAGTCAAACATATTTCATTTTAACACTCTTAAGTAAAACTAGTGAAACTCAACTAAGCTAAACTACTATGTACAAAGAGAAAGGGGAAACCATATTACAGTTTAAGATAGATTTTGTGTTTGAAACCAAAGTTTATCTGGAATAATTTGGGATATGATCAAATTAGCTTTTTGCTAATTTAGAGAAATTGGAATGTTTTCAGACCAACTCACAATGTAAATTATTTGGTCAAATAATTTACTTAATCAGGAACCAATAACCTTTAGTTAAAGATTCTTGTCCCTCTTTGAAATAGCTAGGATTGTTCTTGGCTTGAGGAGATACAAGAGACATTTTGCCAGTGGAAAAAGACAATTTACACTTAAAATAAGAAAACACAATTGCATTGTCTTATATGAAGTGCATATTATCTAACTATCTTATTTTAATAGCAAAAATTCTCATTCCATTGGCAAACTATCTCATTTACCTACTCAAATTAAAGCTAAATACACTTAATTTAAGAAATGTTTACTTACATCTAGATCGTTTTTTATCCAGTGTTCTACTCTGGGCCTGGGACATCTTGCCCACTTGTCCCCCCCTGTCGGCGGGCACAGTTGTATTAACTCTGCATTTGATGATAGCCTTGGAAAGAATCTCCAGAGATTATTTGATTATCATTTTTATTTGATTATAATTATTTAATGTACTCAGGTCTATAACATTGGCACAGATATTTTATTTTTGCTTCCTTTTTATTATTTCTGTTTCTCTCCACAGGAAATCGATAGTTACACACTGAAAGTGCAGGTGGCAGACCAGAAAGGCGAAGGTTTAACAGGAGAAACAACAGTGATTATTAAGGTCACAGACAGCAACGATCACGCGCCAATCTTTACTAATCCGTCTGTAAGTACAGCTCATTCTTCTTTGAGTAGAAAGGGGAACGTTTTAGTCGCTGCCTTGTCATCCTGTTTTTTTGCCTCATCAATACTCCCTCCTAAAATATAAGCTCCAGTAAAAAGTGATGATAATAAGCTCATTGTAGACTAAACAATATAAGGCCAGTTAGATTTCTGCATTTTAATTGATCCTATGACAAACCCTAACACCACCAATGCATTTCCTCAGTACAAAGCAACAGCAGGGGAGAATGAAGTAGATGCTGAACTTGTTCGGATGTCCGTGACAGACAAGGATGAGGAACATTCTCCTAACTCGAATGCAAAGTTCACAATCGTCGGTGGAGATCCTGGAAATCTCTTCAGTGTGAAAACAGGAAGTAACAAACTAGAGGGAATCATTACTACTGCAAAGGTAGGAGAAGCAGTATATGATCATCTGTTTGTTCTGGGATTATATTACAATGTGTACTATTCATACTACACTGGAAAAAAAAAGTCATTTTTTCTTAAAATAAGTGCATTTGTTCTTGGATTGAGGAAGTAAAATATACATTTTGCTAGTGAAACAAGACAATTTACACATAAACTACCTCATTTACCTACTCAAATGAAGGGTAAATACACTTAATTTAAGAAAACTTTACTTATTTCTAGATCGTGTTTCCAGTGACATGGATAGATGTCAGCCATTGATGTTTGACCTTCTTTCTTCTATTAACAGGGTCTGGACTTTGAGAAGACCAGTAAGCATACCCTGCTGGTTGCGGTGCAGAATGAGGTTCCTTTTGCTACTGCATTGACCACTTCCACTGCCACAGTGGAGGTGACTGTGAGAGACGTCAATGAACCTCCGATATTTGAAACAAAAGAGACCCCTGTATCCAAAAGGGAGGACCTTCCTGTGGAAAGCACCGTGGTGCAGCTCACAGCCACTGATCCAGACGTAGCACGCAAACAGAAAGTCAAGTATGAAAACTTTATATCACATTTGTTTGGAATGAAAACTGTTTTTTATTTCAGAATGAACCGCAGATCTCTGAATTACTGAGCGGTTATCTTATGGTGCTTTCACACCGAACGTCAGTGATGCGGCCAGAGTGATATCTCTTCGTAAAGATGGTTCAGGAGTGACTAAATGTTTCGAGCACATACTTTCCGTTCCATTCTATTTCAATTAAACTGGTGATCAAAGCAAAGCTTAACAGCGAGTATCAGTGGCGGTTGTAGACCAAACGTACCAGGGGGCCAGGAGGGGGCCAGCATTTTTTTCTTTCTTAACATTCTTAACATTTTTTCAATTCGGTTCAGTTTATTTCTATAGCGCCAATTCACCAGTTAATAAAACTAGTTGATTGCTTCGACTCATTGAATCGAAGGCAATCCCTGACACTAAGCATGCTTGTAGTGACAGTGGAGAGGAAAAACTCCCTTTTAACAGGAAGAAACCTCCAGCAGAACCAGGCTCAGGGTGAGCGGCCATCTGCTGAGGCCGACTGAAGCAGAGATACAAAAGCAGCTGTAAAATGCGGCCCCGTCCAGGAAACACACAGCCAGGCAGACGAGCTTTGAGCCAGCTCCCATGTCAGAGGATGAAAGAGAGCACATCCACTTAGTCACATTTAGAGAAACAGGACTACACTGAAGAACATGCTGATTTCCAACATCTATAAACAAAGGTGTTGATGGCAGCCGCACAGCTGATATTTCTCTCCAGGATGGAGTCACAGCCAGACAGGAACAGACCAGATGAAGCTACTATGAGAAAAAGCAGAGAGAGCAGAACGTTAGAGATTGAGCTAACAGATTCTGCAGAGTGGGAGAATAGAGATAGAATGAAGCAGAATGATTAAAAAAGGATCCCTATGTCCTCCAGCAGTCTAAGCCTATAGCAGCATAACTATAGAGATAGCTCAGGATAACCTGAGCCACTCTAACTATAAGCTTTATCAAAAAGGAAAGTTTTAAGCCTAGCCTTAATGTCATGATGTTACAAAGTTCAGACCCAAATGCAGAAAACCGAACAGAGAGACCAGGGAAACGGTTTAACGGGATTATTGAAGTAGTTAAACAGAGGGAGAAGTGTTCTGAACACTGCTCAATCGGAACTGAAAAGTGAGGGGAAGACACAGCAGTTAGTTCAGGCTCAGTGGGGAATTTGACTTGTGAACTTAGAGAAGAGGATTTGGTTGCCGACTCACGTTTCCAGAGAAGTTGTTGAATCCTTGACTCCTGTCTGTGTGCCGTGGTTCCAGTGTTTGTCTGATTCTGTGGAGGGCAGAACAGGGTTTACCCAGAATGCTGTTGTTAGTTGGTGAACGGAAATCTGCCACTTATATTTCCTGCTGTACTTAAACAGGTCATAGTGGAGAGTTATCCCTTTCTCAGTGAGAAGCTCAAATGATATCTTGGGGAAAGTGGATCCAAACCTCCTGTTTGAACCCCAGCTCAGTTTGAAGCTCAGTTGATCCTTCCAGGGAGAGAAGGTCCGAGAGATCCAGTTTGCAGGATGACTTCCTCCTCCTTCGATCGGGCCGTCTTTCAGTCTGATTGTGTATTTTGTAGTATACAGGGGGTAACGAGGGCGGTCAGCCTCTAACGACCACCTCCCCATCAAGAATCATAAGGTCGGGAGAAAATCAAACATGTTTGAAATTCAGTCGGCCGTCGTAAGGTGGTTGTGGACAAATCACTCTGTGGGCGAACAAGGATTCTTCTTCTTCCTCTCAGATGAAAACACAGAAGCTGTCAAGAACCAAGGACAGAGGTTCAGTATTCAAGGAGAGACAGTCAGTAGGAAAGTTCAAAACGTTTATTAAATAAACAAAACAAAAGCGGAGCTGTGGCTCGCGGACACTGCAGGATGGGGAGCGGGGACCGCTCAATCACAGACACTCTGCAGGAGAAACACAGATAAGTGACCACGATCATCTGACAGAAGATTTTCTAAGCTGGTCACTTACCTGGTTTAACAGTCCAGACCAAGAATGTCCCCAAGAGCTGCAGTCCCAGAGGTCATGCTGGAAGCCGATCCTGGTCAGGGATCCAGAACAGACAGAGACAGGATCAAGATCAGGCAGGAACAGGAACAGGTGGCAGGATCCAGACTTCCAGGCATGCACAGGCTCCCAGGAGGGTTCAGAGTCTGACTGGGACCAGAAGCATGACCAGGTGGTCACGCAGAGGAGCAGACAGGATCAGGTGCAGACAGGCAGGCTCAGTGGCAGAGGGTAACCGAGACAGGACGTGGAACTAGAACTTGAAACAGGACTTTAAGCTGGTCTCCTCCCTGGAGCCAGGCTTACTGGATAAAAACTGAACCTCCCCACATATAGAGCCAAAAACCCAGAGGACTCCAAGGGGGAGGAACAGTGGACAATCAGGAGACGAGACAAACACTAAAACCCTCTTTCCACTGGCAGCTAGGATCCAGGACATGAACCGTGAACTAAAACTGAATAGAAAGACTGACAGAAAGACAAGTAATGATCTGGCACTAAATGCTGAGGCTGAACTGAATATAACCAAGAGGAAACAGGTGAGAGGAATAAATTATAATTGAGGCAGGGAGGGAAAACAACAGGTGAAAGGAATGACTAATTAAGGAGGAGCAAACAGGCCAGATCATGACAGAAGCATGGCAGGGGTGCGAGTGAAATGCAGTTCTTTCTGTTAAAATTGACAGACCGTAGTAGCTACGTTTGCTCAGCCATGTCTTTGTCCAAGTACGTTGTTGCCTTTTCTTTTTAGGGCTTTCAGCACAAAATTGCACAAATTGCCAAGGCAACGCGTTTCACTTTAGTGAGCTTCATATTCCTCTTCTACTGGTTTGGCTTCTGGATAAATGAGTCCGAGTAGCGCCATCTCACTGTGGACCACATGGTTTTTAGACGTATGTGAGCTGGTAGATCGCATCAGAGCGTCGGGTTGCACAGTGTGAGAACAAACATTGTGAGCAGTGAACTTTTAAACCCTGCGGTTTCATCGAAAAAGTGTGAACTGTAGCTGAGTGCAACGATTGAAAATATCGCACAGTGTACGCCCAGCTTAAAGCAGATTTTGCCAAGCATCTCCTGTCTGAGGAACTCAGCAGATCTTATCTAATTTATCACATTGTCTCTCATATTCATGCATGCATTTTGTGTTGTTATTGTTTGTGTTAAATATGCAGGTATAAAATATTCACTGACCCCGCTAATTGGCTGAGGATTGATGAAAATACTGGAAAAATCACAGTGAAAGACGAAATGGACAGAGAATCTGTCTGGGTCAAAGACAACAGATACACAGCAATTATTACTGCATATGATGATGGTAAGTGTGACGGTGAAGTGGTTTGTGTAGCAACTTTGCACATACAAACATCAAGTTTATGTAGTACGTATACATTTAACAAATAAATCAGAAAGTGGACATTATAGATTAGGTGGCACTTGTTCATTAGGTCAGTTGAACTGATACAAAATGTGGAATCTCATTAGTTTAGGTTTCATTGGCTTTATCTGATGTAGTCTAAAATCACTAATTGGAGTGTTTAGGGTAATTTATCCATAAAACAATTTGAATCATTGGAGTTGGGGATATAATTACAGTCTTTCTCTCTCAGTATTTTATTTTTAGGTGTTTTGTGGAACTACTAATGTTTTCCTGATCCATTTATGTGATCTCAACAGATCAAATCCCAGCAACAGGAACTGGTACCTTGATTATCGAGCTAGAGGATGTCAATGACAACCCACCTGTCATTGAAGAACGGGAATTTAAGGTATGTATATAATGTCCACCTATAACGGTATGCAATTTGTGCTTTGATGGATTTAAGCAGAACTTAAACCAAACCCTTTCGTTTCCAAAGATGTGTAACGAGGAACCGGTTCCTCAGATTCTGACTGTAAAGGATAAAGATGGACCAGACTTCACTTCTCCATACAGCGTCAGCTTACAGGGCCCTTCGAATGCTAACTGGACTGCCAGGATGAATGACACCAGTATGTATACCTTTTACACTAAATAGATTAAAACATGTTTCTGGAAACATAAACCATCAAATACAGCTCAATACAACTCTTTCACTAAGTAATGTAATACATCTGCAAAGACATCCATCACTGCGCCACAACTTCATTCAATTATTTTTCATAGTATTAATTCACAGTGTGTCATATCAAGGCACTTTATAGAGGCGATTCGGTAAAATTAAACTTGTCTTTCCATGGAAACCTAGCTGACTGTAGGATTTCACCCATTTTTTGCCCCTTTCCAACTTTCGGAAAAATCTGTTTAAACCCGGTTTTTAGTAGCAGTGGAAACTGCTCACTGATACGTGTTTACCCGGGTCAAACGACTCGGCATGGCGCTGATCGCCATCCTGTGGGAACACCAGAGCCTGGTTGATATACTAATTTACCATTGAACGCAACGTAAGGACATCAACACACCGCGCCAGTCGCTTCTGATCTACCGAGCAGAAACTTTAGCCGTTTTCAATATGTGTACTTGTGTGTTCTCGTGTACTTGTGAAACGTCATCAGCCTCAGCCCTAGTATTGTTCCAATTCACAAGAACAGCAGAACGGACAAAGTCCCCCGATGTTGTTCTCACCCCTCCCTCTTTACCCAGCATGCAACAGAGCAGACTTGTCTGTTCTTGAGATTGACAGCTGTCCCAGCATGCACTGCGGCAGCATCAATTTTCAATGTAGCACCCACAGAGCTCAGAGTTTCAATTAAAGTTCTCTTTTCTGTTAGTGTTGTTCAAAGAAAATAATTTTTAAGATAATTTGAGGCTAGAACATTCTACTTTTAACAGTCACTATACGGCCCATTTACCGATTTAATGCGAAAACAAAAGCTAATAGGACTACGAGCTGCTATGCGCACCAGCCCTGATTCATAACATGCTAAGAAACCAGACATCCCTGCAGAAATAAGGAGAAGACTTGCTGCAGGGGTGGGAGGGAAAGATATTTTCCGTCAGTTGTCGTTTGGAAACGTAAGACTTTGTGCAACAAGACTGAGGAGATTGCAGCTTTTACTTTGCTTCCAGGGGAGATACAGAGATGCTAGTATCATGTGCTTCACAGAGACGTGGTTAGATGGACTTGTCCCAGTGGTTTCCCTGGATGGATTTAAACTCATCCGTGCAGACAGGATTTCTCCAGAGAGTGGAAGGGGGCTGGAGATGTTTGTGAATGAGAGATGGTGAAACGCGGCTCATGTTTACGTGAAGGAACAGATATGCTCCCCGGAGGTTCATTACCTTGTCTACCTGCTCCTCCACTACATACCAGTGGTGAGAAGGACAATAGTGCAGAAGAAGGTCAGTGAAAGTGAGGCCACTGAGAAACAGAGGGATTGTTTCAGAACCACAGACTTGAGCATGTCCCAAAGTGATGATATCAACTGCCTAACTGAATGTAACGTACTGGTATCGGCCAATACTCACAGCCCAAGCATTGGAATCAGTACCGGGAGAGAAAATGGTATTGGAACATCTCTATTTGTATGATGACGTTAACTCTGCAGCAATTCCTCACACTAAGCCTTTATGCCGTGATAGTGGAAAGGAAAAAACACCTTTCTAACAACAAGAAACCTCCAGCTTCGAGTCAATGAGTCGATGCAATCAACTGGTTTTCCTTGAATAGAAAACTATGAATCAATCTGACTGGATGATCTGGTTGAATTTTTTCTGTACAGTACATTGAGATGACATGTGTTGTGAATTGGAGCTATATAAATAAAGTGGATAAAATTTAATTAAATTTGAATTAATACCAATGTTTCCCAGAAACCTACACATGCAGATCAATACCTGCATTTTTACTCACATCCCCCCAGCAACATAAACTTTCTATTATCATAAATCTGAGTTACCAGACTGGCAATATTCCCTCAAGTGCAGAGAAGCAAGGAAAAGAACACAAACATGTTAGGAAATCACTTGAAGCATCTACAAAATGAGAGTTTCCACAGTAAATCAAAACTAGCAGGAAAAATAACACAGAGTAGTAAACAGAAAGACACAAGAACATTCTGATTCCGTATGTCAGGAATTTCTGAGAAACTCAGAGGGATTTTCTCTAAACATTTAAAACCCAACAACACACTCAGAAAACACAGACCTAAACTAAGGTGAGCAGTATTTCATTCCAGTGCAGCGAGGACTGTAAAACGTCTTATATAGGAGGTATTGGAGAAACCAAACAACAACTAAGTAACACACAGAGCAACATAAGAGAGCCAGTAGCTCTCTGCAAGATTCAGGCGGACACCATCTCATTTAGTGGTAGTTCAACGGTACCACCCTTAGATGAGGCTCAGGGAGTTTGGTCCATATTGACATGATGGCATCACACAGTTGCCTCAGATTTGTCGGCTGCACATCCATGATGCGAATCTCCCGTTCCACCACATCCCAAAGATGCTCTATTGGATTGAGATCTGGTGACTGTGGAGGCCATTTGAGTACAGTGAACTCATTGTCATGTTCAAGAAACCAGTCTGATTCCAGCTTTATGACATGGCGCATTATCCTGCTCAAAGTAGCCATCAGAAGTTGGGTACATTGTGGTCATAAAGGGATGGACATGGTCAGCAACAATACTCAGGTAGGCTATGGCGTTGCAACGATGCTCAATTGGTACCAAGGGGCCCAAAGAGTGCCAAGAAAATATTCCCCACACCATGACACCACCACCACCAGCCTGAACCGTTGATACAAGGCAGGATGGATCCATGCTTTCATGTTGTAGAAGCCAAATTCTGACCCTACCATCCGAATGTCACAGCAGAAATCGAGACTCATCAGACCAGGCAACGTTTTTCCAATCTTCTATTGTCCAATTTTGATGAGCTTGTGCAAATTGTGGCCTCAGTTTCCTGTTCTTAGCTGAAAGGAGTAGCGCCCGGTGTGGTCTTCTGCTGCTGTAGCCCATCTGCCTCAAAGATCGACGTACTGTGCGTTCAGAGATGCTCTTCTGCCCACCTTGGTTGTAACGGGTGGTTATTTGAGTCACTGTTGCCCTTCTATCAGCTCGAACCAGTCTGGCCATTCTCCTCTGACCTCTGGCATCAACAAGGCATTTCCGCCCACAGAACTGCCGCTCACTGGATGTTTTTTCTTTTTCGGACCATTCTCTGTAAACCCTAGAGATGGCTATGCGTGAAAATCCCAGTAGATCAGCAGTTTCTGAAATACTCAGACCAGCCCTTCTGGCACCAACAATCATGCCACCTTCAAAGTCACTCAAATCATCTTTCTTCCCCATACTGATGCTCGGTTTGAACTGCAGGAGATTGTCTTGACCATGTCTACATGCCTAAAAGCACTGAGTTGCCGCCATGTGATTGGCTGCTTAGAAATTAAGTGTTAAGGAGCAGTTGGACAGGTGTACCTAATAAAGTGGCCGGTGAGTGAATAGCCTTATTTTACCACAGTCAATTGAATTTTGGTATTTTATGTATTGCCATTTACCAATGTAAATGTATACCAATTGCACATATTTATCTTTAATTAAAGTATGACAACCCTGCACACCTAGAGCCAGGCATATACACTGTACGATTTTTTTGCCCTTTTCAAGCCGATTCTCCAGTCATGCGAGAATTTTTTGAGCTCAAGTCTAGTCCTGTGTCGTGTACTTTGCAGGGGGTAACGAGGGGTGATCAGCCTCTCATAACCACCTCCTGATCAGGAATCGTAAGGTCGGGAGAAAATCAAAAATGTTTGAAATTCAGTCAGCCGTCTTAAGGTGTTTGTGGGTAAATCCCGCTATTGAAGCAGAGGTACCAGCCCATTTACCAGAACCTCGAGCATTACGCATGTGTAAAAAAGGGAGTTCTTCCTCTTCCAGATTGATGAGTCCGACCAGCGTCATCTCTCAGCGCTGAGTCCGACATGGTTTTTAGACGGACAGTAGGAGCAGGTAGATTGCATCAGAGTGACGGGCCACACAGTGAGATCAGTGAACTTTTAAACCCTGCTGTTTCGTCGTTAAGATTGCTTCTATTTTGAATATGATCTGGCTCAACTAAATGTATATTGCATCGTGTGTTAGGAGTTAAATTAATAAATATTAAAGAATAGCAGAATAGGGGTCAAATTAAGGAAGTGAGGAAAAGTGGTCCCTATGTCCTCCAGCAGCCTAAGCCCATAGCAACATAACTGTAGAGATAGCCTGAGCCACTCTATGAGCTTCATCTAAAAAGCTGTTTAAAGCCTACTCTTAAAACTAGACAGGATGTTTTCCTCATTAATCCATTGTGGGTTTGCTGAGGGTTCTTAATGTATCTCTCCAGATGGTCAGCTGACCCACTGGGATAATATGGGGATAACTACTAGACTTTAAATACACAGACAAAAATCTATCTTTAAAACTGTTACACGGATAACAGCTTGTAGCAATAGCTGGGAGTTTGTTTCGCTCATGGCTGTCCTAGAGCCGACTGATGAGTCACAACATAGGGATACCCATCAATAAACATGACATCAGATTTGCTTTTTACAAGATTTCCCGTCTATTCTTCTCTAAAACATGACTTGCTTAAAAATTCTGCTTAACAATTTTTTTACCTACTGGTGAAAGAGTTAACGGCAATGTAATGAGTGTTAAAATACATATCTTACATTAAAACCTCACTCTGACTCTCGCTGTTGTCCCTTTGAGGACCTAAAGACCCATCTAAGGGGTTAAAGTGAAGACTATAACTTGGAAAAATCAATAGAATGACATGTGAAATTAATTTATTTTGTGTTTGATTGCAGAAATGGGCATCATCCTGACTTTAAAAACCAAGATTCCAAGAGGAGATTACAAGGTGGTCTTGAGTGTTGAAGACAACCAGGGTCTGTCACAGGTCAGCACAGTTGCAGTTAAGGTTTGTGACTGCACCGGAGAGGAGCCCTGCATGCAAAACCGGACTGGTAGCTCCAGTCTTCCCGTCACCCTGGGGATCCTTGGGGCTGTCCTACTGTTGTTTATCGGTTAGTTGGAGATATTGTTTGACTTCCTGGTAAAGGGAGAAACGTTTTACTTTAATCACAAAACAAGAAAACGCAACCAGAAAGTAACCAACAAGATGAGGTGATATTGAGTCTAAATGATGATAATAATAAAAAGCTAAAGCCCTACACAACAAAAGAAACTGATCAAGAAGATCAAATAATTTGAAAAGCCCTTTGACATTTCAGAGTCAAAGAAGAGTTATGAATGTTTTTCAAAGCCTTTGTGAATCCATCAAACAGAAATCAAAAAAGAAAAAATGATAATGACTGTGATTCTATAGCAGAGGTGTCAGGTATTCACATTATTTACTTAAGTATAGACACCTGTGTAAAAAGAATGAACGTGCTGGTTAAACTCATCTGCCTGGTACAAAAATTAAATCTCCAAACAGTGGTGGCTGGTGGGGTTTCCTCCAGGGGAGAGCTATAACTTCAAAATAGACGTATATATAAAACAACAATCAAATGTATACTAAGATATAACACGAGTATATTTATATGAATGTCAACAACTAAAAACAACATTCAATTTAATTCAGTTTATTTCTATAGAGCCAATTCAAAACACGTGTCATCTCAAGGCAGTTTACAGTTTACCAGATCATCCAGTTTTATTGATTCAGAGTTTTCTATCTAAGGAAAACCGGTGGATTGCATCGACTCATTAGCTACGTTTACATGCGCAAAATTTCCCCGATCCGATCCAAACCTTGGTTGATCGGAAATTCAAAATCTCCGTTTACATGGACACTAAATGAAATGATCCGATCATGACGTGTGTATACATGTACCAAGCGTTGGATCAGATTAAATCTTTTAAGCATGCGCAGAACTTCCTGCCAAACTTGGCAGTTCTGTCTGCGTCTGGTTTTTGGGAGGCCTGACAAACGATGCGCTCGGAGCGAGCGGAAAGAAAAACGGAGAGAGGAGGAAAAAAGCGCTTGGCAGCGAAATGTACGAGAGAAAATGTAGAGAATGAGCGATTGAACCGGCGTGGGAGAGCGAGTGGGCTGTGGAGACAGAAAAGAGGAAGAGGAGGAGGATAAATTCCTGCTTCCTGCAGCTTTAAATGAACTTGAGTGTATAAGTCGGCGTTCCTAGACTCCTCCCGCCATGTTGTTCACAGCGAGAGCGAGAGCGACCGGTGGTTTCCTGTTGTTGACAAGGCGGAAAACGTCACGCTGACGTCGCACACATGCGCAGTGAAGATTATTTTACTCTTAAGATCCGAATGGGTGTTTACATGGACGCCAATCGGAATGGCGATCGGCAAAAACCACCTCTCTCTTTCGGAATTAAATTTAGATCCGATCGGACCGAATCGGATTAGAATCTTCAGTCTGACATGTTTACGTGAAACATTTTTGATCTGATCAGGCCTTCAATCCGATTAGTTGTGTCCATGTAAACGTAGCTATTGACTCTTCAGCAATTCCTCACACTAAGCATGCTTGTAGCAACAGTGGAGAGGAAAAACTCCCTTTTAACAGGAAGAAATCTCCATCAGAACCAGGCTCAGTGTGAGCGGCCAACTACTGAGGCCGACTGGGGTTCAAGGAGACAGAAGCAGACATAGAAAAAGAAGCAGAGATACAAAAGGAAACTGTCAACCAGCTCCACAGGCGGCCCCATCCAGGAAACACACAGCCAGGCAGACGAGCTCCCAGCCAGCTCCCATGTCAGGATGAAAGTGAGCACATCCAGTTAGTCACAGTCAGAGAAACCGGACAGAAAAAAAAGGCCAAGCTCCAACCTCTATAACAAAGGTGTTGATGGGAGCAGTCACATCCAAACAGGAACAGACCGGATGAAACTACTATGAGAAAAAGCAGAGAGAGCACAACGTTAGAGATTGAACTAACAGATTCTGCAGAGTGGGAGAATAGAGACAGAGTGAATCAGAGTGATGAAAGAGGGGTCCCTATGACCTCCAGCAGTCTAAGCCTATAGCAGCATAACTATAGAGATAGCTCAGGATAACCTGAGCCACTCTAACTATGAGCTTTATCAAAAAGGAAATTTTAAGCCCACCCTTAAAAGTAGACAGGGTGTCTGCCTCACGGACTAAAACATTCTAATATGTTCTGAGAAAAACTTTAAATCAGTCCTTCCTGTCTTTATCCATGCTGGGTCCGATCCTGACATTTGAAAAAAGGAGGCAGGGAAAGCAGAATAAAGCATTAGCCTTGCTGCATTCAGTTAGACTTTTTGTTGTTGCTAAATCATTCTATAAACCTGTCACTCAGCCACACTTTCTAACGACTTTGACATCAGTGCTGGTAGTGTGCAAATAAAGTTGCTTTCAGCTCAGGATGCTCCTATTTTTAACATTGAAGAGGAGCTTCTGCGCATGAACTTTTAACCAACCTATGGGTGAAGATTTTTGCGCCCCAGGGCAGAAATAAGTCACCAATCTGACGATGAAAGATAGCTTTACTCCTCATTATATAATAAATATGTATCTTGCACATCTAAAACATATATGAATATATTTAAAAATATTTAAATTCTATAATGTAATTTTTTTTTGTTTTTCTTAATAAAGGTCATTGGGTGAGTGGGGCAGCACCCTAGTGCCCACTATTGGCCGGCCGCCATTTCTTTACACTGTATTTAAGTACATAAGTTACATTTATTGTTTGCTTTTAATTAAATGAATCAATTTTAGAAACCTTTTCTATCAGATCTTTGTAAACAATATGTAATGATATTTCATATTTAAATTACTTTCAGAAGTTTGATTTCTTAACAGCTTCTGTACAGAGACACAGAAGGCTATTATGTATGGAGGTTAAAAAGTGCCAAAATTAAATAAATAAATACAGCATTAAATAAATAATTAAATGTGTCAATAATTAATTAAATGTGGAATTAAATAAATGTGTCATTCATTAATTAAAACCACGTCACTAATATAAAGTGCCACAATTAAATAGATAGTGATAAACAATTAATTAAATGTGTAATTCATTAAATAAATACGGAATTAAATATATAAATGTGTCATTAATTTAATAAAATACGTCTTCATTTTATTAAAAAAATATATATAATTATTTCAGTGTGCATTTAATTATTTCATGGTCCTGTGTCGCAGTGCATCCAAACCATTAAAAGAATCTGTCAAACTCACCCATCAAAGTTAGGGGGCGGGGTTAACGCGAATCGAGTCGCCACCTACTGTATCAGAGTATGTTCACAACCTGTGGATCACAGTCTCTGTAATCGATTTGCTTCGCCTTAATGTGCAGGGTGACCAATCAGGTGTTAGATAACCGCCCCCTAACTTTGATGGGTGAGTTTGACAGATTCTTTTAATGGTTTGGATGCACTGCGACACAGGACCATGAAATAATTAAATGCACACTGAAATAATTATATATATTTTTAATAAAATGAAGACGTATTTTATTAAATTAATGACACATTTATATATTTAATTCCTTATTTATTTAATGAATTACACATTTAATTAATTGTTTATCGCTGTATTTATTTATTTAATTGTGGCACTTTATATTAGTGACCTGGTTTTAATTAATGAATGACACATTTAATTATTTATTTAATGCTGTATTTTAATCAATTTTGGCACTTTTTATCCTCCATAATTATGTAGGGAGGCAGGGATATGACAAATTTTGGCCAATAATAATACCTGACGGTAATATCGCCCTCATGCCGATAACGATTTAAATCAATATTGTAGCTTCATCCTTTTTACAGTACAAAAAGCAGACCACTGTGAGATATCTCTTCTCTACTTCAGATAAACCCCCACAGTCCTTTGCTACAATGATATCACTGTCAAATGAAAAAACTAACGCCATATCACCAATCCGTTCAGCTCCCGCTCCTGACATAAAATAGACAAAAATAAACATTGGTTTTTAATATCAGCTTATATTTCGTTATCGGCTCAATAGTGATCAATAATGAGAATATCAGACCCAGGTGGAATAATGTATGATACATCTTGGTAGGCAGTTGACCCACGTTTAAAAAAATCTGCGTTAACGCGACCATTTCAGGGGGAGAGAGACTCAAGACTACATGTGAAAATTGTGAAAGTCTTCTTTGGCCTTAGAGAATTAAGAGTAAGCATTAGACTGAGCCTGGTTCTGCTGGAGGTTTCTTCCTGTTAAAAGGGAACTTTTTCTCTCCACTTTCGCTACAAGCATGCTTAGTGTGAGGGATTGCTGAAGAGTCAATGAGTGGATGCAATCAACTGGTTTTCCTTAGATAGAAAACTCTGAATCAATCAAACTGTGTGATCTGGTTGAACTGTAAAGTGCCTTGAGATGACACGTGTTCTGAATTGGCGCTATAGAAATAAACTGAATTGAATACATTGGCAATGACTTTGGACAAATAGGCCCTTCAGTAAGCCTACTGGGCTCATATAAACAGATACAAAGAGACAAAGAGGTCTTTTTAACTAAAGATTCATTCTCGACTTTTGTTAGTGTTGGCGGTGGTGCTTATTTCAAGATGGAATAAAAAAACAGAGAAGGTGCTGCTGCTACCCCCAGAAGATGACCTCAGAGATGAGATTGTTTGCTATGATGAAGAAGGAGGCGGAGAGGATGATCAGGTAAACAGAGATATAAGACGATAGCTCTGTAAGAAACATTTCTTTGAATGTTTTAAAACATTTTATTTTGTATGTATAACTGTGGGTAACCCCATATATAGCAGTGAAGATTCTCAGTCATCCAGGTCATGATAGTTTTGGTCGTTCCCAAAAAAAAAAGGAGAAAAAAAAAGGACTTTGTTTCCAAGTTTGAAGATGTTTCGCTTTTTCAATTCAAAATGTCAGAAATGGCGTTGAGTTTGAAACGAACGGGTCCATCCCTTTGGAATCCATTGTAGGTTTTTGAAAGCTGAAATCTGCGTTCTCCCCACCTTAAACAGAGGGGCTGGACTCAGATTTCAGCTTTCAAAAACCTATTATGCAGCAATAGTGTTGATTCCATCTCACTATCATCGCGGGTGAACGGGTGCGCCAAAGGGACGGACCCGTTCTTCTGTTTCAATCTGCATGTTTTCTAAGCAAATACAAGGCTTTGTTGGGCTACTGTATAAAGCCTTGAACTCAACGCTATTTCTGACATTTTGAATTGAAAAAGCTTCGAAACGTCTTCGAACTTGGAAACCAAGTCCATTGGATTGTTTTTTAACTTTTTTTTGGAACCAATATATAACCTATCAGTCATACTCCATTACTCTAACAGGACTATGATCTGAGTGTTATCCACCACGGTTTGGACAACCGACCTGATAAAGTCAGGAGTGACGTGGCTCCGATGGAACGCAGTCAGCCCCACTACAGACATCTCCCTAACAATCAAGAAGATATGGCCAGCTTTATTGACCATGTGAGTGAAACACTTACCTAAAAATAACAACATAAGAGGAAAAGCTTTTCATTGTGTTGGGTCCTGTTTGGTTTATTTTTCTTCTAATTAAGAAGGTCCGCATAAAAGCAGGTTTCCTAAATTTTGGCTTCCATTCTTCAGAACCGGAAGTTGGCAGATAACGACCTAGCTGCTCCCCCCTTTGACTCCCTGCTGGTGTTCGATTCAGAAGGAGGGGAATCGAAGGCAGGGAGCCTCTCTTCACTGTACTCTTCAAATGATGGAGACCAAGACTATGAGCCCCTCAAAGAATGGGGCCCCCGCTTCAAGAAACTGGCCGACATGTATGGAGGAGGAGAGAATGACGACATGCTGTAAATGTAACCCCACCCAGGAGAAAAATTGCTCCATGCAATTTAAGGGACAACAACATGGGGAAACCAATGAGACATGGGGTGGGATGTGTGTGTGTTTATGATCATAACTCTAAAGCCGTAGAATAAGTTTGTTTTGTAAAGTAATTTTGCTTTATTCACTTTTATATTTTTCACTGAACATATGCATTGGAAGCTTTTAGAAGTGAGACTTGTGTCAAATGTGAAAATCTACCTAGTTTTTTCTTTTGTTTATTAAATTCCATAATTATTTTTTCTGTACATCAACATAAATTCATGTGAAAAAGTCATGCAGTCAGGGTCCTGAGGACTACTTAACATAAACTGATGGAATAAATCAACTTTCTGAAAGAAAAAAAAATAATTCTGTCTTGATAAGTGTTTTGGTCTTTTCATTTTGTCATTTTATTATATAGTATAACAAATCCTCCATCCATCCATCAATCCATCATCATTCTTCCACCTTCCATCCATACATGCATTATCCATACATCCATCATCTCTCCATCCAATCCAAGTCAAGTGAAGAGGCAACTGGAGAGACTGAATGATAATTAGTCACCAGGTCCTGATGGTGTCAGCCCCAGAGTCCTGAAGGCCTTGGTGGCTCTGTGGGATTCTGCAGCACCTCTTCATCCTTAGTCTGACCCTGGAGACAGTCCCAGTGATTAGGAAGACCTCCTGCTTTGTTCCAGGACCACAGAAGACTCAGCCAAAAGTCCTCAGTGACTATAGACCTGTTGCCCTGACATCCCACATTATGAAGGTCCTAGAGAGACTTGTGTTGGTTCACCTCAGCAAGCAAACCAGCAGCTATCAGGACCCCCTGCTGTTTGCTTATCGCCATGGAGATGGAGTTGGTGATGCCATCATACACCTGCTTCAACAAACCCACTGTCAAATAGACAAGGCAGACAGCTCTGTGAGGATCATGATCTTTGATTTATCAACATTTAACACCATTCAGCCTGACTGACTTTGGGAGAAACTCCAGAAGACTCAGGTGGAGGCATCAACAATCACCTAGATCAAAGACTACGTGCCAGACTGACCACAGTTTGTTAGACTGAAGGCTCAGCTGCCTGATCAAGCAGTCAGCAGCACAGGAGCTCCACAGGGGACGGTACTCTAGCCATTCCTTTTTACTCTGTTCATCTCTGACTTCCAGGACCAGAGAGAGTGCTGTCATCTGCAGAAATACTGGGATGACTCTGCAGTCATTGGGTGCATCAAAGATGGAGCAGAATCTGAGTACAGAGAGCTGGTGATCCGCTTTGTGGCATGGTGTGGAAACAATCATCTGATCCCGAATGTCAACAAAACAAGGAGATGATTGTAGATTTCAGAAGAAACAGGAACAAGATGAATCCTGTCAACATCCTGGGAGAAGAAGTGGAGGTGGTGGAGGAGTAGAAATACCTTGGTGTTCAGCTGGACAAGAAGCTAGACTGGAGACACAACTGTGTAGCCATCTGCAGGGAGGGACAGAGCAGATAGTTCATCCTAAGGAACTTTCATCCTTAAGGTCCTTCAGTGTTGGAGAGTTTGATCTTCTCTTCTTAGTTATCAGGCTCCTCTACTGTGGAACAAACTACCAGTTTTAGTCCGTGAGGCAGACACCCTGTCTACTTTTAAGGCAAGGCTTAAAACTTTCCTTATTGATAAAGCTTATATTTAGTGGTTAAGGTTATCCTTAGCAAGTTCTGCTTCATTTTATCTCTATTCTCCAATTCTTCAGCACGTCGAGAATCAAGAATCCACCTTTCGTATTCCATTTTCAGAGTTTTTTAAAGTGTTTAACAGAGACGTTAGCACCTCGACGTCGGAGTACACAGAGTGAAGCGAAAAGACTACAACTGTGTAAACAGGCCCCATTTCCGTTTCCGGTGGCAGCGGAATATTGACTATTCCAACAGAACTCAATGGGATTTACAAAATGCTAAATAAAACACTACAGGAACGTTTTTTCTTTACGAAACTTTTTTTGGAACGTCATTGAACAGCGCTGACGACCCGGTGAGTAGCATATTTTATAAAAAGAACGTTTAAGGTTGTTTTAAGGACATTATCGGACATGCACAATGGAAGCCATTCTGAAGCAGCCAGGGGTGGATTCTAAATGAGCCAAAAAGCAGAGACAGGACCAATTGTCAAACTTTTGGTGTCGATCATTCGATTTTATCCTGGACACTACAGAAAATGGGCTAAAAGTGTTAAAAACCGGAATTCTCCTTTAAGTGTTTATTAAAGTAGTTATTTATTTATAATTTAACTGATGACTCCTAGATCACTTCCAGGGACACTTCATTTTCTCTTTACTCCATAAAACACAAAAGCTATTTCTGCTTGAATTCTGTACTTATCATCTTTAATGTTAATATATTGATGTGCATAATTAACCACAGCGTTTTTGTTGTCAAGTAATAGTTAATCTATGAAAAATTTAAATGTTTTGAATATTCCACTTGAGAGTATTACTGTTGCCATCATCTGTATTAGAGGATAAATGGTATGGGTGGCCACAGGGGGGGCAATCATTGGCTAAGGGTGGCCATGGCTACCCCTGGCCGCCCATCTAGCTCCGCCCCTGGCATTACAGAAGCTATATTTTTCAATTATGGGGATGGATAACCACACATAACATGCACAAAGTGATGAGGACACCCAGATTTACTTCACCTGCAGCTGTAATTATATCATTAGATAGAACTACAGACTTATCTTGAAAAGCTCGTTAGATATGGGAGCACATTGGATTCCCTGCACATTTTTTGATATGGTCAGGATTCCGGTGTGCTAAAAAAGGGACCATGGTTTCCCAGGGTGCTGCAGCACCCCTAGTGGCGAGAAAGAGATAATGTTTTACAAATACTTTGCACAATTTAGAAATTTCGTATGACTATTTTGGGAAATTATTTTGACTTTTTTAATTTACTATTACGTGTATTCCAATTTTGATTCAATTATTTTGAGGCCTAATCAACACAAGTTTAGGACGTTACGTTGTCATGACAACGTCAAGTAAGCTAGAGGTCACCGACTAAAGAGGAATCCTACTCACAGCAGCAGACTAGTAAATGTACATAGTCTAATGAGAGAAACGAGGAGGAAATATAGCACAGAAATGGATTTCGGATTCATCTGCGGATGAGAGACTTTATCTCCACAATGCCAGAGAGACTAGCCTCTTGAGACCATCCTGATCTCGCGAGCTTTCAAGATTTCACTCGCTAATCAGTCTGGAGACTCTCCGTTGAAGAAAATTTGGAGCCATTCACCAAACGAACGTCCAATCAGCGTTGGCTTTGAGGCGGGTTGAGGTGTGACGCAACGAGAAGCGCGACAGTTCAGTCTAAAGAACATGGCGGCTTCAGCCGATGAAACTAGCGTTAGTGTGGCTATCGAGCAAGTTTTATCGGAATTACAGAGTATTTCTTCACTAAAAGAAGAGCAAAACACTGCTCTGGAGGCTTTTCTCAGAGGAAAAGATGTTTTTGCTCTTCTCCCGACTGGTTTCGGCAAGAGTTTGATCTATCAATTGGCTCCTCTTCGTCGTAGCTCTGTTAGTACGTCATATGCTTCGTTGATCTGATTGGTTTATTTGGCCCGTCTATCACCAACATAGGCCAATCAGCTAGCCAGTATTTTCGCCCCTTCCCAAAATTACTTCAGCGGAAGGTTTCCAGATGGATATGCGGAGCAAATCCATCTGGCGGAGTCAGGTTACAGAGAGACACCAGGGCTGACAAAATCTATTTTGTTATAGTGTTATTGTGATGTTTAATTAATAGCCTATATATTCACCTGAAAACTGATGATGTCTGTGTGTTGCAGACCCTGGTTTCATGCACTGAAGTGTGTATGACAACATAGTAGTGAATCTCAATCCCAAAGTCCCAAAGCCTTCAGGCCTTATCCCAGTATTTACCTGCTTTCCACCAGAACATGAGGCCTATTTGCTCCAGACAGTATCGGGAATACAAAGTTTAAAAAAAAGGAACCAGAGTCATTATCAACCTGTGGTCTCTGCATCATGATGAGAAGTAGTGGATGAATCCTGAGCTTTGGTTGATGATATTCCTGAGGTTTTATTCTGGAAATCAACTGTCCTTCATTGAGTTCAGTATGACTTCATTTCTGATTTTATTACTGATGTTTTTTCTCCGACTTCCTGGTTGTCACTCCTGCAGTTTATGAATAATAAACATATTATTATTCCTTGATGTTTGTCTCCATGTGGCCCTAAACACACTCTGCAAGCATACAGGTGCTGGTCATAAAATTAGAATATCATGAAAAAGTAGATTGATTTCAGTAATTCCATTTAAAAAGTGAAACTTGTATATTATATTCATACATTACATACAAACTCATATATTTCAGATGTTTATTTTGTTTAATTTTGATGATTACAAATGACAACAAATGAAAATCTCAAATTCATCATATCAGAAAATTAGAATATTACTGAAGACCAATAAAAACAAAGGATTTATAGAAATGTTGGCCAACTGAAAAGTATGAACATGAAAAGTATGAGCATGTACAGCACTCAGTATTTAGTTGGGCCTCCTTTGGCCTGTATTACTGCAGCAATGCGGCGTGGCATGGAGTCGATCAGTCTGTGGCACTGCTCAGGTGTTATGATAGCCCAGGTTGCTCTAATAGTGGCTTTTAGCTCTTCTGAATTGTTGGGTCTGGTGTATTGCATCTTCTTCTTCACAATACCCCATAGATTTTCTATGGGGTTAAGGTCAGGAGAGTTTGCTGGCCAATTAAGAACAGGGATACCATGGTCCTTCAACCAGGTACTGGTAGCTTTGGCACTGTGTGCAGGTGCCAAGTCCTGTTGGAAAATGAAATCTGCATCTCCAAAAAGTTGGTCAGCTGCAGGAAGCATGAAGTGCTCTAAAACTTCCTGGTATGTGGCTGTGTTGACCCTGGACCTCAGAAAACACAATGGACCAACACCAGCAGATGACATGGCACCCCAAACCATCACTGACTGTGGAAACTTTACACTGGACTTCAAGCAACGTGGATGAAGTGCCTCTCTTCTTTTCCTCCAGACTCTGGGACCTTGATTTCCAAAGGAAATGCAAAATTTACTTTCATCAGAGAACATGACTTTGGACCACTCACCAGCAGTCCAGTCCTGTTTCTCTTTAGCCCAGGCAAGACGCTTCTGACGCTGTCTGTGGTTCAAGAGTGGCTTGACACAAGGAATGCGACAGCAGAAACCCATGTCTTTCATACGTCTGTGTGTGGTGGTTCTTG